AGCCATTTTGGCTCAAGATGCTTAGTTCCGCAGGGGAACAAGTGGATACCGCTAGTCCGCGGCCAGTTTGCAGTCCTTCCCCTGGTCAGCCCCAGGGCGAGCGCCGAGGTGGTCCGCCCCACCTCGGCGCGTCTCTCGCATCCTGTCTTGCTCGGGGCCGCCCAGCCTCGTGCATCGTATTCCTGATCCTCGTGTGCTTTATATCGGCAGGATGGTGCCGCGCCCAGTCGCCGACAAGACTTGGCTGTGCAAGACCTGCATCCACGAGCGCACGGGTGAACCTTTCTTCAATAAGGCTGACCGTACATCATGCTTCTCGTGCAGGCGGCCCAAGAGCAGTTGTTTCAAGGCCTACAAGCTGTCCACCGCAGACGACCCGACGTGTGCACGATTTGTGTGGTTTTATTTTTGTGTAGTTTGTTGGAGGTGTGTTTGTTTTTATTTTCTTGTGTGTAGGAGTTTTGGTGAGGGTTTTCTTTTTTGCTTTGGAGGTGTGTTCTTTGGATTTGGTGATGTTTGGGAGGTCTCAAGGCTGGTGGCAAGAAGGCCGCTAGCGCAGGCTCGGCACCGTGGGAGGTCGCCAAGCAGCTGCGTTTGGCGCAGGAGACGATTGCCAAGCTCGAGAAGCAGATCCATGCCAAGCACGTGCCAGCGCCTGATGCCATGGATGTGTCGGAGCCTAAGGCTATGGCAAATGATTTCGATGAAGGCAAGTTTCGTGCACGTATTTTGGAGTTGGATAAGGAGATCGCAGTTGCCAGCAAAGGTGTTGGCGCAGCGTGGGAAGTCCTCAAGGAGGCGCTCACCAAAGAACGCTGCGAGCTCCAGGATGAAATTAACAAGCACAAGCCTGAAGCCTCACGCATGTTCGTCGTTGGCAAGCAAATTGAGGCTATGGGCAAGCAGATTGCAAAGGCAGAGAAGGATGTTGGCGACCAAAAGGCCGTCATCAAGGAGCTCCAGGATGTGCTGGTGCAGGCTGAGCAGAAGGTGCTGGACAAGAAGGCCAAACTGCTTGAGCTACAGACCCAGCACGCTGACTTGGCGCGCCAGAGCTATGTCCCACCTGTGCCTAATGACGACGGGGAGGCTGGGCAGACTGTTCATGCTCTGGGCCTTGACACAACCAAGTTGGGTGAGGTGTTGCGCGCGCTTGGAGCTGGAGACAGGACTGACGCCATCGCGCACGGAGTGGCTCAAGCACTGCCTCAGATTATCACGAATGCTCGGTTGCAGCCAGTGGGCGCGACTCGACACCATGCAGGTCCTGAGCTGCTGGACAACGAGTCACTTGCTGATGACGAAGCTCCTCTGGTACCTATCAAGGAAGCAACCGAAGATGTATTGCGGCCTTACCTGGCGGAGGCGGGTCAGGAGGTGCCCACGACTTTGAAGGAGATGCGTGACGCGACCAATCGATTCTGCAAGCTGGAGCAGCATGCCAAGCAGAGGAAAGGGCCAGGCTTCCAGGCCTACTAGGCCAAGGAGGCTAGTCCACGCCATGATGATGTTCACTATACTGGTTAAGATGACGTATTCCGATTCTAAGATCAAGGGGCAGGTTGTCACGGTCAATACTGATGCAGCTGGCCCTTTGCTACGATATGTGGAGCAGGCCACAGATGCGGTGATATTGGTTCAAGAGCATAAGTCTGGTGGATCTATGTTGCCCAGCCTGCAGTACAAGCTGAAGTGCATGGGCTACCACGGCATTTTCTCGGCGGCCAAGCGCGCGGCAGCTGACGGGCTCTCAGCGGGGGTTGCAGTGATCACGCCGAGTTTTATCACGATTACGGCGCCACCACTGCTCACAGACCCTGAGATTGTGCCCTCTCGGGCTGTGGCAGCGCAGGTCAACTGGGGTCTCAAGAGTGGGTTGGTTGTCATATCCCTCTACTTGCAGGACTCCGTGGACCTGAATGACTACAACCTTATGATCCTACACAAGGTGGCGCAATACGTGGGCCGCCTCAATGCAGCAAATCGGCCCTGGGTCATTGGAGGTGACTTTAATATGAGTGCGAATTTGATTGGAGCACAGGAGTGGGTGGCGCAGGCGAATGCGTTGATGATGGTACCGTCGCAAGTCACATGTCGCACCACCAACTCGGCTGAGGGCAAGACTTATGATTACTTTATGGTTCACTCCAAGTTGGCCGCAATCATTGAGCCACCAGATGCGTTGGCGGCTGCAGGGCTACCCACGCGTGCACCTGATGTTCTTTCGATTCGTGCTGAGCCCAAGAAGATCTGGCTACGGGTCCCTGTTGAGCCCAAGCAGTTACCAAAGCTACCCAAGCAAGGTTGTTCGCGATATCCCATGAACTGGGATCACGTGATGGACACCATTCTACGTGCTCATGACGACGACACGCTCAAGATGGTTTGGGACGCAGTTGTTACTGGAGTGGAATTTGAGATACTCAACAGATACGACGTGGTTGATGATGAGGCTGCTCCGTACAGGGGCAGAGCGGGCCCGAGGGACACCAAGTTTGTCGAAGCACACTGGGCCCCCAAGCGTGAGGCGGGAGGCCTTAGGCCGAATGCCTTAGCTTGGCTGGCTGCGGCCAGATGGGCGAAACATCTCATGAGAGCGCGAGCCTTCTGGATCAAATTGGTGCAGGAAGCTGTGCGTGATGTTAGGCGTGCGGGCGAATTTCACCTTCCTGACTACAGCTCGCCCTGGACCAGCCGACAGCCATCCTTGGCGCCTGCAGCTGCAGCTCCTATGAGAGAGGAACCAGAGGCAGATGACAACTGGATGGCGGTCACCAGCAGATCGAGATCACAGAGGGCACCTACGAGTGGGTCATGCAGCCTACGCCCTATGAAGGACGAGACTGCCCCGCGGCGCGTGTCCTCCGCTGATCCGCGCATGCCCGCGGCTCTCAGCTCAGTGACCCCGTGCGGTGGTATCGCTGGAGGGCTGATGGCGCCGTGTTCTGCAACTACGGCCAGTGATGTCTCTGCCCCTGGTAGAGGGCCTACGGGTGCTACTACGGCGACCGCGACGGCTGCGTCAGCCTCGAGGCCACGTGAGGATCCAGGGAATCCTGGCAGAACGCAGCCCAGGAGGCAGCGAGCATCAGCGAGACTGAATCCCATTGACAGATTGGCTCGTTCGCTAGTGGACACAGATCGCTTCTTGCTCAAGGTAGTGGGGCAGCAGTACCACATGTGGAGTCACCTGGATGAGGAGACTCAGAGATTCTTCTTAGATGGCATCGCCTTGCTAGGACGAGATGACTTCGGGCAGCAGATATACCGCATAGTCGAGCGTGCTGATGAAGTTCACCAGGAGCATAAACAGAAGGTGGAGGACAGCTGGAAGTCTTGGATCGACATGGCGTTCAAGAAAGGTGCAGGCCCTGCGCATCGCACGTCTAAGGTCAAGGCTTTGGAGGCAGCTGTGGCGCACACTGACAGAATGCAGCCGTGCCAGATGGCCGACAGGGAAATGGATGTCTGGCATGATGTATGGTCCTGTCATGGGCAGCGTGAGCCACCATTGCCTAGTGATGCGCATACATGGGAGGATCTTCCCCCGCTTCGGCCAGAAAACTTGTCCAGGGCAGCTCTCACGTTCACTTGGACGACGGCCACTGGGCCGACGAGGCTGCACCCTCGTGCATTTTTCTTCCTCTCTGATGCTGGCTTGCTGGCGCTCTGCACACTGTACCACACATGCGAGCGGATGCTGTACTGGCCGACACAGAGAATAGTCAACGAGATGGTTAGGCTTGCCAAGCCCGATGGAGGCACGCGGTTGATCACTTTAGTAGAGAGCTTAGTACGTTTGTGGGCGCGAGCAAGGCGCCCGATTTCAAGAACATGGGTTGTCCAGCATGGGAGCCCTTTTATTTGGGGCAACAGGAGGGGGCACTCTTCCAGTTATTCCGCGTCTGCGCACAACCTAGAGGCGGAGATTGCTGCTTCTCTGGGAGAGAGTTCAGTCACGGTGTTTCTCGATATGTGGAAATGTTTCGAGGCAGTGCTGTTCCCTGCGTTGCTTGATGAAGCCAGGTGCCTGGGGTTCCCTCTTCGTTTGTTATGGATGCTAATCAACTCGTATTCCCAGCCAAGGGTTATAAAGGCGTTTGGATGTTGGGGCAAGCAGGTGGTGGTGTACCAGGGCATCCTCGCGGGCTGCACCCACGCCACCACCCTCCTCACCATCCTCACCTACAGGGCCCTCATGAAGGTGCACCAGGTAGCCCCCACCGTGACCCCGAGAGCGCTCGTGGATGACAGCACGTTCCAATGGGTTGGGCCGTCGGGGACCTCTTCGGCTGAGCTGTTCTCGGGGATCCAGAGCTTCGTCAAGGATTCGGCCAAGTTGGGGCTCCTGCTGCAGGTCAAGAAACCTGGCTGGGTCTCCAACACTAGGAAGGGGCACCAGGGGTTCCGCAAGTTGGCCTCAAGGACCAACCTCAAAAGCAAGAAGTGGGTCCGAAATCTTGGGCATGAACTCAGTGGGCCAGTTCCTGTGAGGAAACAAGCTAAGGCTAGGATGAAGGGCTTGCAGGACAGGCCCCCAAGGCTTATTATGCTCCAGAAGGCGGCTGGCAACAGAGTCACCGCGATCTGGAGAACAGGGCTCCTTCCAGCTGCTGCGCACGGCGCGACTGTATCAGGAGTCAGCGACCAAGAGCTTGCCCGTTTACGCTCTGTTGCTGGCATGTTATGTGGCCGTTCGACGGCAGTTTCTTCTCTCACTGTATATCTGGCTACGCAGGCTGACGCCAAGTACGACCCAATATACAATGCCACCATGGACCCCCTGAAGGCCTACTGCAGCTTCGTCTGGGACAACAGAGTTTGCCTTGGGAGACTGCAGAGGGCCTGGATGAAGGTGGATGAGGGGCTCAAGATTAAGGCCTCTTGGACCTCGGCAAGGGGGCCCATTGCTGTAGTATGGATGTCTTTGAGGCGAATAGGATGGGGCATGTATTCCGCCACGGGGATCTACAGCGACCTAGGTCACACGTTTGACCTCCTTCAGCTCTGTCCCAAGGACGTGCTGGAGTTGGTCAGGCAAGGCATCGAGCGATGGCAAGGCAAGCGTATACTTACACATCACAAGGAGGTATGCTATGGGGATGAGGTCGTATGGATGAGAGCTAGGAGGAGATGCATTGGTGCTAAGAAGGCAGTGGTCAGGCACCCACGTTTTGCAGGCGCGCTTCGTGCACTGTGGTCCGACTCTATTTGGTCACGTTCCAGACTGGCTGCCAAAGCGTACCAGATCTCCCCTGCCTGCATCTACTGCGCAGCGGAGCAATCGCCATTGGACACGAGTTCTTTTGCTGTCCTAGTTTTTACGATGACCTGTCTGAGGGGCCCGATCTCGACTGGAACACTGATATGCAGTACACATATGATATGCTAAGGGAGCTCGGACAGAAGGCCCTTGGAGAGCCCGACTGGGATTGTCTTGCCACGGCAGTAGGCATACCAGTGAGTCCTCTCACCCCACCGTATGTGGAGTTCAAGTTGCAGTACGTCTGCTGGGGTGACTGGGAGTCTGACAGAAGTTCCTGGAGCTCTTTGGTTTTCTCTGATGGTTCGGGTCTGGCCCCTGCGTGGCCTGAGATTCGTCAATGTGGGTGGTCTTTCGTCGTCATGGGGGACAACGGGCTACCAGTTCGTGCTGCATATGGGCCCCTCGAGGGTCCGATACAAACGGTCGGGAGATCGGAGCGAATGGCTTTCCTCATGGCACTCAGGCTTTTACCTGCTGTGGACCTACTGGTGACAGATCTCCAGAGCCTGGCAGCTGAAGTGAACTCCTGGCACCACGGCCAGGAATATGCGAATTCGACATACGCAGACATCTGGAGGCACATCTTTCATGCAGCTGACGACAAGCGTCGGCCCAGAGCTTGCTGGACGCCTGCGCACATCGCGATCGAGAGTTACCTGGAGGTACACTTCGGCACCCTCCTGTTTGAATTTCTGCTCGGGAACATGTGGGCGGATTTTTTTCGCAAGGGAGGGGGCCAACATGCACGCTGTACACAAATCGACGGTCCAAATGTTCGAGGCCAGGCCGAGTCAAGAGAAGTTGAATGCTAAGTTCTTCTCCTGGGCGGCAGCTAAGCTCATCACCAGGGACTCCACCAGCAGTAGACCCGAGAGGCTCAAGTTAGGTGGCCCCCCGATTCCTGTACAGCATGTAGGATTGCGTGTGCATGAGGTGGTCATCCGCAGTCCTGGGGTCTGGCAGTGCAAGACTTGTTTGGCCACGGCTCGGACCCCAGCCAGTTTGTTGAAACTCGTTGCGGGTACCAGTAATTATGCTAAGTGTGAGCCCACGGAGCAACAAAAGCTCCAGGCTCGCAATGATGTTGTATTGCAGCGCGCATTGCCTTACAGGAGTGAGGCGGTCAACGTTGCGCTAGGTCTAGCGCAGGAGCTCAGCCCACCCGAAGACCCTGTCGTTCCTGGTCCTTCGGGGGCTCAGCAGCAGTGTGCAGACGACATCGTAGAGTTAGATGGCCACCGAATTCTATCGAATCTTGGTGCAATGGTTTGCACATTGTGTGGGTCGCACCAGCTTAATGCTGGGCGTGCGGGGCACTCGAAGCGTGGAGGCTGCTGTCTGGGCCCTTCCCAGCACCCCCCCACACTGTATAAGCAGCGGCATGCGATTAAGGCCATCCAGGCGGGTAAGAACCCCAAGAATGGCCTGCCGATCAAACTGTTTTGATGAGTTTCCTAGGCCCGCTCTGTTTTCCGTCACTTTTTCCCCTGGGAATCCACGGTAAACGAGCTGGGCCCACATGAGTGGCCCATGCTCCCGTAGTTGGTTGCATGACAGGTCATCCGAGGCGTCCTCCTCCTCCTCCTCCTCCTCCTCCTCCTCCTCCTCCTCCTCCTCCTCCTCCCCCGCGTGCTCGGCGGCCCCCCCCCGACGCGGCGGCCGCAGGAGGCCTCTCGCTGTTTGCGGCCACGGCGGCGGACGCCGCCGCCTCCGCCGGGCCCCCGCCCGCCTGCCCTGCCGGGGTGGGGGGGGGGGGGGGATGCTGGGCTGGTTTCCACCACCACCATAAGTTGGAGGGGGGAAGGCCGAGGAGGAGGAGGAGGAGGCGGAGGCGCGAGAGGAGGAGGCGGAGGGGAGGGGAGGGAGGAGGAGGAGGAGGAGGATGAGGAGGAGAGAGGAGGAGGCGGGGGGGAGGAGGAGGAGGGAGTAGGAGGAGGAGAGGAGGAGAGGAGAAGAGGAGGAGGGGAGGAGCGGAGGAGGAGGAGGAGGAGGAGAGGGAGACGGGAGAGGGAGGCGGAGGAGGAGGAGGAAAAGATGGGAGGTGGAGGACCGTTGAAACCCAAGAGTCACCAACGATGATTGAAATTCACAATTCCTTCCAAGATCCTTTCTTAGCTATCCAATGGGTTCTGCCTCACTGGCAGGAAACAGTTTTGAAGATTCTGGAGCGTGCCAGAACATTGTTCTCGGGATTTCAACGCCATGTAACAACCTGACTGCTGCGTCTTGACGATCCCGAGCCGTACCATAACGCCATTTTTGGGACTTCCACACAGCGAATCACCCTAACAGTTGCGCCCGCGTAATCCTGAACCACTCCGAAACATCATGTCTGGTACGTTGATCATGGGATCCCGTGGAACTATTGCAACTGTATTGTTCAACAAAATGAATGCGCGCGGCGCTAAGGCGAGAGCCACAGTTTGCAAAGGAACCGCCCTCAATCCGTGAAACCCTTGCAAATATTTGAAACGAATGCGCGCGGCGCTAAGGCGAGAGCCACAGTTTGAAAAACGTCCCGCCCTCAATCTGTGAAGCTCTTGTAATTTTTGTAGGAAATGTGCGCGCCGCTCAGGCGAGAGCCACATTTTGAACCGCCCCCCTTCAATCCGTGAAACTCTGGCAGTTTGGTAAAGCGAATGTGCGCGGCACTAAGGGGAGGGCCACATTTTGAAAGCGACCCGCCGCTTCAGAGTCATGAGTGGTGAGGAAGTCTCAGGCGAAACGCCCGGCCGCTAAGGATTTTGCTTCTTGTTTCTTTTTTCCTTGGATTTTTTTTATTTTTTCTTCTTTGTCTTTTTTGCGTTTATTTTTTTCTATCCTTCTTATTTTGGTTAGTTTGTTCTTTTTACCCTGTTTTTTGTTGCTTTTCTTTCTTTGGTTTCTTGGATTGGATGTTGTTGTTTTCTTATTTTTTTTTTGGATTCTTGCTTGTGCTTGCCGTTCAACTGTGCCATGAGCACGAGGGCACAGCCGTCGAAATGAAGCCACCCCATCCAGGCGGAGGAGGAGGAGGAGGAGGAGAGAAGACGCAGGAGGGAAGCCAGGAGGCGGAGTAGGCGGAGGAGGAGGAGGAGGAAGGAGGAGGAGGGAGGAGGAGGAGGAGGAAGGCGGACGGAGGAGGAGGAGGAGGAGGAGGAGGAGGAGGAGGAGGAGGGGCGGACGAGGACGAGGAGGCGGAAGAGAAGGAGGAGGGACGGGGAGGAGACGGGCGGAGGAGGAAGTGGAGGAGGAGGAGGAGGACGAGGAGGAGGAGAGGGAGGAGAGGAGGAGGAGGAGGAGGAGGAGGCGGAGGAGGGAGGTACGGGGAAGGAGGAGGAGGAGGAGGAGGAGGAGGAGGAGGAAAAGGCGGAACTGTTGGAACGTTGGGGTTGGGGGGAGGAACGGGACGGTGGGCGATGGAGGAGATGGGATTTGAGGGAGAGGGAGAGGGAGAGGGGGAGGGAGAGGGGGAGGGAGAGGGAGAGGGAAAGGGTGAAGGAGGAGGAGGAGGAGGAGGAGGAGGGAGAGGGAGGAGGAGGAGGGATGAGGAGGAGGAGGAGGAGGAAGAGGAGGAACAATATTAATACCAATAAGGAGAATAATACGAAGTAGACGAAGCATCATAAGCATAATGCGAGTAACACTTATAAAAATAATAATGATATTAATAACAATTAGACATTACAAGAATAAGAAGAAGGAAACTAATAATAATAATGATATGAATCATAATAATAATAATAATAATAAAAATAATATCAATAATAATAAGAAGAATAATAATCTTACTAATAATAATACTAATAATAACAATACGAATACGAAGAATAAGACGAATACTAATAAGAAGAAGAAGAAGAAGATGAGGAGTAGGAGGAGGAGGGGGAGGACCCCCTCCCCCTCCTACTCATGGTGGCGGCGTGGAAAAGAAGCCCACCAGGGGATGGGTTGCCGCGGTCTTGACGCCCCCGCGGAGGTCCAATCGAGACAGCCCAGAGGGTGGGTAATGACCATGGGATTGCATGGCCGGGGCCATGCGGCGAAGAGGAAAAGACGGCATAAGCATAAGTTTTGGCGTTCCGCGCGAACCAAACGTTTTGTGTGTATGCCGTTTTTCTTTCTTCTCAGGATAGCTCCACGGATATCATGGCCTCCGTTTCTTCATTCAGCACGTCCCTTGCCCCCCCCCCTTCTGCCGCGCACGTGCTTCGGGCCACGACTTGCTAGCCTCCTACTGGGCGCTCCCATTTTTGGACTCCCCCTTTTTGGCCTCCTACTGGGTGGCCCTCCTGGGCGTTTTCAGTTTCCAACCATCCTGCGGTGTTGGGCCCTTGTTTTGAAGAGACGGCGCCCTGCGTTCCTCTCCTCCTCCCTCTCCCTCTCCCTCGCCCTCTCCCTCTCCTCCTCCTCCTCCTCCTCCTCCTCCTCCTCCTCCTCCTCCTCCTCCCTCCTCCTCCTCCCCTCCTCCTCCTCCTCCTCCTCCTCCTCCTCCTCCTCCTCCTCCTCCTCCTCCTCCTCCTCCCTCCTCCGCCTCTGTGCCTGCAATCCGCATGTCTTTGTTTCGGCACACCCCTCACACGTGTCGTGGCCCCATAGGGAGCTCCACCGAAGGCCTCAGTGGCAGCGCCCGCAGGCGGTTCCACCCTGAATTCCAGCACACCCCTCATACGTTTCGCGACCCCATAGGGAGTTCGACCTATGGCCCCAGTGGCATGGCCCGCATGCAGTTCCACCCTCCACTTCAGCACACCCCTCACACGTTGCGTGGCCCCATGTGAAGCTCCACCGAAGGCCGCAGTGGCAGCGCCCGCATGCGGTTCCACCAATCATTTCGGCACACCCCTCACTCGCTTCGAGGCCCCACGGGGAAGTCCACCGAAGGCCCCAGTGGCGGCCCCCGCATGCGATCCCACCCCCTAGCACGGCGAACCTCCCGCATAGGGCGCTTCCTCCACCGAAGGCCCAGTGGCCCCTGCTGCTGGCCCCCCTCCTTTCATGTCCCTCGCGATGCCCGAAGGCCCCCAGTGCAGTGCCCGCCTGGCGGCCCGGCCACACTCCGGCACACCTGTCCCTCGCTTCGAGGCCCTGCAGGGAGGTCCACCCAAGGCAATGCTCACAGCGATACCTAGGGGATTGCTAAAGAAACATAAAAACTCGGAGGTCCGCGCGGATTTCTCGGATCGGCGCTGGGGCCCCCCAGCGGCGCCTCCGGCGCCGCCCCTGGCGCGCTCCGCGCGCCAGGGAGGGGGGTCCAGCGCCGATCCGAGAAACTCTCGCGGACCTTCGATTTGTTTTATGTTTATGCCACTTTTTGTTCCCGTAATACCAGAGCGATACTCAACAGCGTCGCCAGGCTGATTTATGGTGGTCTCCAGGAGCCTTCTCGTTGCGCCACAGCTGGATCCGCTTGGGTCCAGGGGACGTGTTTGTTGGAGGGAGTTGAGCCTGGCGGGAGGGCCGCCGATCTCAACGGGACCTCTTCGGATTACCCTTCGAGGGGTCCTGAGGCCACTCCGACGGGTCTCCCAGGGAAGCCGCCAGGGAATTCTTCGGGAGGGACCACTTGCGGTCATCCTTGGGCTCTCTCGGGGGCTCCTTCAGGGCTGGACTGCTCACTGCTCACTGCTCCGCCTCGCTGCCTTCGCCAAGGGCGCCCTCGAGGGCGCGACGTCATCCGCGCTGCGCGGTTCGGCTCCGATCCCTCGTCCTCCTCTTCTCCCCTGGGAGGCCGCGCGCGAGCGCGAAGTTATACTCGCGCTTCGCGCTTCGCGCCGCGCGCAGCGCGAAGTTGGGAGCCCTGGTTCGCGCCGCGCGCACCAGTGTGCTCCCGTCAGCCAAGGCGCGGCCGTGTCGCAGGGAGCTCGCCGCTCCTCGGGCCCTCCCACGAGGCCGCTCGTCCAGGCAGGGCTGGACCGAAACGGTGTTCTGGCGAGTTCGTGGGCCGCTTTCGTTCCGATCTCGCTGTGCGGTGAAGGCGGATTGAAGACAAATCGAGGGAAAACGGAAACAAAACGAAAACGAGAAACACCGTTTAGCTTCAGCCCTGCTTCCAGGGCCCCATCGTGCTCCCATTCGCTCCTGGGGCCGAAGAGGGGCCGGCTTTGCCAGCGGTGCCTCTGGCAGCAGCCTGGTTGCAGCCTCAGGTCGGGCATATCCCTCTGCACGCCAGTCGCTGAAATTAGGAATTTTTGGATGCCCAAATCCTAATCTATTTTGGGCGCCTTCCTACTTCAAGAGTCGAGCGGTTTTCCTTTTTTCCGTCTTTCCTCCTCTTCAGGGGTCGGGTGGACGCCCAATCTATTTGCAACGCCTTCCTACTTCATGTGTTGACCTACTTCTTCCGACTGGCGTGTACAGGAGGAATATTCCAGAATGGTCCAGACATAGTATGGGGATAATCTGCTCTACTAGGTTTGATCATTTCCGAACGTTTGCCTGGACTACGCTTTAGTTGTCTTGCAATATTCGCCTGTAGGAGGACATGCCCGACCCAGCTGTAGGTAGCCACTCTGGCCCCCGGTTCCAAGCGGCTACGACCTCGTGCCCGGGCGTACTCGCTGCGCGGGCCATGAAAATAGTGATGGTGATGATAAGGATGATGATGATGATGATGATGATGAGATGAGATGAGGAGGAGGAGGAGGAGGAGGAGGAGGAGGAGGAGGAGGAGGAGGAGGAGGAGGAGGAGGGGGAGGAGCACGTGCGGGAGCCCAGTTGCTGCTGGAAGGAGTTCGCCGTGCGCGCGCGGAGGCACGCTCGGAGATGCCCCGGGCCCAGGCGGCTGCAGCGTCGTGCCGGGACGTGCCGAGAGGGGGCCTCTTCCGTCCGTTGCCTGCCTGCCGCGCGGGCCCACGGGGCCCGGGGCGCGCCTCCCCCAGACGGGGCCGGCCTCGGTCGCCCTCTGGGGAGCTCTGGGGAGCCCCGGGCGGTCCGAGGCGCGGCGGCACGCCATTGTGAATTCGGGCAGGTCCCCCTTGCAGGGGGAGTCTGGGAAGGAAACTGACAAGTAGTCAGACCACATTCCACACATACTCATCAAACGGACTCGGCGCATCGTCCCCAGACTTCTCCTTCTTCGACTAATGTTGTTCAAGTAGTGGCGAAGCGCCCTGGCTCGCGTATAGCCCTGCCAAACAACGTTCTAAGAACTTGTTTGTGGTTTCCACGAAATGTTCTTAGAACATGTCTGGTGGAGTCTGTTTGTCTTATCACATAGGGTTTATGTTCTAAGAACGTTGTGTTTGCTCTTAGAACATCTGTGGGTTCTAAGAATATTTCGTGGTAGGACTATAGGAATGCTGGGACTGTAGGTCTCTGCTCAAGTTTTGGCTATTTTCGGGGACGATGTTTCGAGTTCATTTGATGGTTTTTTTTGGAGTATGGTTTGACTATCCGTTATTTTCCGTCCAGAGTCCGCCTGTAGGAGGACATGCCCGACCTACCGCCAGAGTGGCCCTTCGCTGCAATGACCTGTGTCGCGGACCCGCGGGGGGCCCCCCGACGGCCGCGCGCGGTGCGACAGCAGGCGAGTTTGGCGCCCGCCCCGCGTCCCCCCTGAATTCGGGGCAGGATAACCGCGTCCCCGCCCCTGCGATTGGCGTTCACTCAGCGACCCTGGGCGCCTCCGAAGCAGCCCTGCCTTGTGCGATTCTTTTCTTGGTGAGTAATGGGCTCGCCTGTAGGGGTGCTTGCTCTGAGGGTCGTGTTTCTGCCCCCTACTGTTGAGGCGGGTCTGTCCCTTTACAGAAGAGATACTCCGAAATAGTAAAAAACTATGTTTTGAGTATGTTTTGATAATTCTCTCGTTTCCTCAACAATCCGCCTGTCTGGAGGATATGCCCGACCTAACCCTACTGATGCCGCGCACCAGAGGTTGCTCTTGCCGGGGGGGCGCTCCTGCGCGACTCCCGGGCCCAGGCCTCTGGCGAGGCCGAGGGTCCAGCCGGAGCGGATGCCGAGCGAGCTGGCACGTCGGAGGGCTGCGGCAGACTCCTGGCGGAGCCCCGCTTCGGGGGCGGCCGAGGGAGGGGCGATCACCGAGCTGCAGACCGGCCGCGGCGGGTCTTCTGGGGCGCCTGAGGAGCAGCGCCTGGGCAGACCGAGCGATGCATCACACAGCATGGCGAACTGGAGCAACTGCCCGTCGAACCGGATAGGAGGAGGAGGAGCAGGAGCAGGAGCAGGAGCAGAGAATGAGGAGAGGGAGGAGGGAGAGGAGGGAGGAGGGGGGGGAGGGAAGGAGGAGGGGTGATGACCAGGGGGGGGTATCATGGCCAGGGCCACGACATCGTCCTGGCGTCTGCGGCCTCCCCTCGATCCAGCCGGCCCGTCCCCTGCCCCCCCCCACCACGAGCTGCGAGCTACCTTTTTTGAACGTCCTCGATTCGGGGCCTCGGGCCTGCTGTCGCCCCTGCCGCGCCCGCCGCGCGCCCAGGGGCAGCGGCGACTTCGACGCGGCCGCGCCGAAGGCCCCGCGCGGCCCGCACGGTCGGGCCCGGCGCCGAAGTCGTGGTCGTTGGCGCCGCGCCGCCGGCCGTGGCCGTGGCTTCTGCGGCCTCGTCGTCTCTGTCGTCGCCTTTTGTCAGAGGAGGAGCAGGTACCCATACCTCTACCCTCCACTCGCTTTCCCTTTTTGGGCCTCCTGGGAGACCCTCGTCGCCACCGCTGGATTCGCTTCGGAATCCTGGTCGGAACACACCCCAGGAGAGGCCCGGGGAGCAGCGGCATCGGTGCCTTTGGGTGTTCCCGTTTTGGGGAGCGGTGGCGAAGCGTCCCGGCCTGCCGAGAGGCCCAACAGATAGTTCGGCTGTGCGCAGGATCGGGGGCGGAAAAGACGGGGGTGATGACTAGGGGGGGGGGATATCATGGCGGGGGGCATGATATTTCGCCATATCTCATGGCGCCTCTTCTTGTTTTAATACGTCCCTGGCCCCCCCGCTGGGCCGCGCACATGCCGCCGGTCATGATTTCCCCCCCCCCCCTCTTGGACACCCCCCTCTTGGCCGCTCCTGATAGGAGTGACCTCTCGTTGGAGTGGCCTCTGGTGCGGACGTGCCGGGTTCCCCGGATGGCTGAGCGCGCTGCGGTGTCGGGGCTTGCGCGCTCGGGTTTGCCCTCCCCGCGTTCCCCGAGAGCTGCGCGCCGAGGGGCACCTTTTGCCTGGGGTCACCCCTGGCACTCAGCCGAAGGCTTGGTCCGTGAACCTGTTCTGGCGAGTGTGCTCTCTGATGCAAGCTTGTTGGAACTCATCTGTTTCAGGAGGGGAAAAAATACACAGACACAATTATTCGTCGACTCCCAGAACATATGCGAAAATATGGGAAGGGGGGGGAAGACAAAAACCCAGAAAATATGGGAAACACATGGGGAATCTTTTTATTTGTGTGTGTTTCTTTGTGTCCCAGGGCCCCTTCACTGTTTCCATTTCAAGAGCGTGGCTTCTTCTATCGCAGGCGCCTGCTGCCAACCACCGCCACCCCCTCCCTTCTGGAAAGCCCAAGCCGTCGAACGTTGGGCCAACGACTGGCCAAGCTATTGGACTATGTGTTCCCCCAGCCGTTGTGGACCTTCTTGGACGACCATCTGTGAGAGAACGGCAAAGTAGGGTGAACGGGAGGAGAAGGAGGACGTGTAATTATGAGGAGGAGGAGGAACATGAGGTTTCCTTGGAGCCTCTTCGGCGCCTCTTAGGGGTCTCGTGGGGGCATCCTGGGGCGTCGTGGAAACCTCCATGGGCCTCTTGGGTGCCTACAGAGGGCCTCTTCTCTGGGAGACCTTGGCCGTTGGAGGCGGTCGTGGGGGCCTCTCTGGGCAATCGTGGGCCCCTCTTTGGGCGCTTTAGGGCCGTCTAGGTGGTCTGCAGGACCATCTTTGGGGCCTCTTGGGCCGTCTTTGGTCCCTCTTGAGCCGTCTTACATACCTCTTTGGGCGATCCTTGGGGCCGATGTGGCTGCTTGAACGCTGAAATCATTGAAGCACCTACAGGCAATCACTGACTTTGGCCTTCTCCAGGTCCTATTGGGGCGTCTTGGGTACCCTTTTTGGGCCGCCTGGAGGGGATTTCGGGCCGTCTTGGGGTCATATCTGCTGTTTTTGAGACGTCTTGATACCTTCTTGGAGGCGATCTTGGGCCGTCCTGAAGGCTGTATTAGGCCATCCTGGCCGGCCGTCTTAGATCCGATTTGGGCGGAGCCTCCCTGTCTCTCCGCTGGGCCGGCGGGTTGGATTGGAGGCCTTGGAACCTTCCATCTTCTCAAGTCGGTATGTCATCCAACACGCCAAGCACCCCACCGTGACCAGAACAGGAGGCGGCGTATCTGGTGGCCTTCGGTCCATCCCGCCACCGTGCCTTGTCTTGTAGGCAAGAGGCCTCTTGGATGTCTGTGGGGATCTCCTGTGAGGCCTCTTGGAAGCCTCTTGGATGCGGTCTTGGGGTGACCTTGGTGCCTCTCGGGGGTTTCCTGGGAGCCTTTTGGGGCCTGATGTGTGCCTCTTCGGGTCCTCCCGGCGTCCGTCATGACCCGTTTCTCGAGGCGGATCCAGCCGTGGCGACGAGGACCACGAACAACGTTACGGATAGCCGCCGTTGTCTCGACTTGCCCTCCTCTGGCAGAGTTGAGGAGGGACCGACCGTCATGGCATTCTTGCAGGCCCAGCACGAAACATTTTCATAACAAAAGAATATTCGAATCGGCCACCGTGCCTTCACCACGTAGTGGTGTGCCCCAAGGCTCTCGCAATTCTGAGAGCTCGATAAAGGCTTCGTCAAGCTCGTAAGGGCCCAGACCGCGAGTGTTCTAGAATTCTTAGGCGGTCGCAGGGTTCGTCGCGTGGGTTTCCGAGGACCGATTTTGGGCGGCCGTCGTCGTGATCGTAAGTGACGGCTGCCGCCAGCGATTGCAGCCGTCGTCCACACCGTCGTCGTCGTCGTCGTCGTCGTCGTCGTCGTCGTTGTCCTCGCCTTCAGTGGATATGCTCAGAGGCTAAATGGTTTCACGCTGGGGGCGTTTTGTCTATTCTGTCCTATTTGCGTTCCGGATACGCTGGATGTGTCCGTCGAGGTGTCGCCGCGTCGCCGCCCGTTGCCGCCTTGTTGCCGCCCACTAAAGGGTGTCGGGTCCGTCGAGGCCTCGCCGCATCGCCGCCAGTCGCCGCCTCGTTGCAGCTTCGCTGCCGCTTTTTCTGGGGGGGTCCGTCGAGGTGTCGCCGCGTCGCCGCTCGTTGCCGCCCACTTTGGGCGTCCGTCGAGACAACGGCGGTCATCCGTGGCGTTGTTCGTGCTCTTCGGGCCTCCTGGAGGCTTCTCGTCGCCACAGCTGGATCCGCCCCGAGAAAGGGGCCATGACGGACGCCAGGAGGGGTCCGAGGACCGATTCTGAGCGGTCGTCGTCGTGATCGTAAGTCGCCGTTGCCGCTACCGCTTCCGTCGTCAACACAGTCGTCGTCGTCGTCGTCGTTGTCCTCGCCTTCTGTGGTGATGCTCGGAGGCTCAACGGCTTCACGTTGGGGGCGTTTCGTCCAAAGCCAGTGCTCGCACGTGGGGTCTCCCATTTGCGTTCCTGACAGATTGGATGGGTCCGTCGAGGTGTCGTCGCGTCGCCGCCCGTTGCGGCCGCGCTGCCGCCTCGCTGCGGCCCACGTCGGGGGGTCCGTGGAGGTCTCGCCGCCTCGCCGCCAGTTGCCGCCTCGTTGCAGCTTCGGTGCCGCCTTCCTCGGGGTCTGCCGAGGTTTCGCCGCGTCGCCGCCCGCTGCCGCCTCGTGTCCGCCCATGTTCGGGGGGTCCGTCGAGGCTTCGGCGAAGCCTCGACGGACCTCTAGGCGGCAACGGTCGGCGGCGCGGCGAAGCCGCTTCGCCGCGTCGCCGCCCGTTGCCGCCCACCGCGCTTGGGGGTCCGTCGGGGTTGCACCACACAGCTTGCACTAGTTACACAGCTTGCACCACACAGCTTACACCTAATAGGTTGCACCACGTAGAATGTATCACATAGCTTGTACATCCACGCTGCGATCGTGTACTCTTTTGGGTCCGCGCTGGCTAACACTGCTTTTGGCGTTTGTTCAAGACCTGCGTGTTTCTAATATGACTTAGAGTATGGCTTGTCAGGTCTTCAGATTCGGGATCGGCTCGTGGTCCACATGCCTTCAAAACTTGTTGGTCACCAGCATCGATCCCAAACAGTGATTTGTTGCAATCTCCGAGCTGCAATCTAGGTAAAGCTATGCAACACGATACAAAGCAAAACAATGCAAACCACTGCAAAGCAATCCAACAGTAGGCAACAGTGCAAAGCCCGGCAAAACAGCACACAGCAATGCAAAGCCATGCAACGCAATGCAGCGTAATGCAACACAATGCAACGCAATGCAGCGCAGCGCAACGCGTAGTGCGATGCAAACCAATGCGACACACCGCAATGCAATGCAACGCAACGCAATGCGATGCGCAGCAATGCAAGGCAAGGCCAGGCAACGCAACGCAACGCAACGCAATGCGACGCACTGCGCCTGCAATGCCGTGCGCTGCGACGGCAGTGCGGTGCGATGGCAAACAACAAAACAATACGAAGCAGGGCAGCGCAACGCGATTGCGATGCAGTGCGGATGCGACTGCGATGCAGCAGCCGGGGGGGGGGGGGCCGCGGGGCGGCGGCGACGGGCGGGAGCAGGGGCCGGGGAGGCGGCCACCGGGCCTGCTCCTCCTCCTCCTCCTCCTCCTCCTCCTCGTCCTCGTCCTCCTCCTCCTCCTCCTCCTCCTCCTCGTCCTCCTTCTCCTCCTGCAACTCCTCCTCCTCCTCCTCCTCCTCCTCTCCTCCTCCTCCTCCTCCTCCTTCTCATTCTCCTCCTCCTCGTTTTCCTCCTCCCCCTCCTCCTCCTCCTCCTCCCCCTGGGGCCTGGAGCTGGAGCGGGGCCGCCAGGGGGGCGGAGAGCGGGCCGAGCTTCGCTTCGCCTGCACGTGGCTGGGGAGCGGTGCCGCAGGCGCATGGGCTCGGGGGCGGAAGAGGGGGGGGGTGAGGACCAGGAGGGGGGGGATATCATGGCGTGGGCCAGGATATCTCCCCAGATTTCATGGCGCCTCTTCTTATGTCGTTACGCCGCTGGCCCCCCCCGCTGGGCCGCGCACATGCCGCCGGTCAGGATTTGCACCCCCCCCTCTTGGAGACCCCCCTCTTGGCCGCGCCCGATGGACTGCATTCTGGCATGCCGCTCTCGTGCCAGTCCTGGTGGAGTCATGTCACGCAGTGGCGAAGCGTCCTGGCGTGCCTATGGTCCTGCCAAACAATGTTCTAAGAACCGCTTGTGGTTCCCACGAAACGTTCTCAGAACATTTCTTGTTGGGCCTGTCTTGTTTTATCACATGGGGTTGATGTTCTAAGAACCTTGTTTTTGTTCTTGGAACACTTTTGGGTTCTAAGAACAGGTCGTGGTAGGACTATGGGGATGCCGGGACGGTCAGTCCTTGCCCAATCATGAGCGAAGAGTAGACATTTCACCACCCACCAAACCACCACAACCCAACCCGAAGGCTCCAAATTGCCCTCCATTTCCAGTGGGGGGCGGTCGGGGAATGTCGAGAAAACACATGTGGAACCCGTAGTCTTCGGGTTCATCGGGTTGGGTTGGTAGTCAACAGCGGCCAAAAATACATGGCCCCTGGCGCTTTGAACAGCCGTTCGGTGCAGGTCTGGCTCGCTCTCGAGGCTCCGGCGGCTCCACATGCGGCCCGAGGTCTGTCTGCAGGGTGCTGCAGCTGCGTCCTGGCTCGGCCGAGCCGGGGCGATCCTGACTTCGTTCCGACGCAGCCCGATCCAGCGCGCATCCTGATGCGGCCCGACACCCTGGTCACAAGAAAGGCTTGCGAGCACCACGAAAGTACCGAATCTGCGGGTTTTCGCGTGTAGGGCCCTGGGAGGCGATACTCGTTCGACATTGTTTCGATGCTTTATTGGGTGCTCGAAATTCTAGACGCTTCGCGTACCCCCACCAGCCGATGAGCACTTACGGCAAGTACTGGGAGTTGCGCAAGGTGCGGACGATCTACTATTCGTTCAACGGCTGAGCCGTGGCATTCGCCCTTTCGTTCTCTTCCTTGTCTCTCGTCGCCGCTTTCTTTTCTCCTCTGTTGTTCGTTCGCCGTCTCTCCTCGCCTCCCTCCCTTCCCTTGTTGCTATGTTTCGTTATCGCCCCTGCCGCGTTGTTCCTTCCACCATTGTGGCCTTTTTTCCTGCGCGCCGCCTGTGACAGACTGGCTTGCGCTCTTCGCGCGACTTCCTGACGCCGCGCGGGTGTCCGCTTGCGGTCGCGATCAAAAGGCAATCCTCCCAGCCCATCCAGAAACGATGCCCAGAGGAAGTGTTTCGATCAGGGAAGTGGGCAGCGCGCAGAGGAAGGGTCCCCCAGTGGAGGCCGCTTGGAGCGTCTGGGTGGCCTCTTGGCGGTCCCGGGCGCCTCTTAAAGCTTCTTGGGTGCCCCGGAGAGTTTCTTGGGGTCTCTTGGGGGTTTATTGGGGGCCTCTTCGAAGCCTCTGGGGCGCCTGTTGGGGCCTCCTGGGCGCTTTTGGGGGTCCTCTTGAGGCGCTATTGGGAGCCTTGGGAGCGTTCTTGGAACCCTCTTTTGCCATCTGGGAGTCGTCTTGGAGCCTCGGATAGCCATCGGAAGCGAAAAGGGGAGAAAACCGAACATACGGATGTTGGTGAGGTTTTGGAAGGATGCATGCCTCTTCGGGGCCTCCTGGGGGAGCCTTTTGGCCACCAGGGGCCGTCCTGGAGCGGTTTTGGGGCCTCTTGGGGCATCGTGGGAGCCATTTCGAGGCATCTTGGGGTACTCTGAGCCATTTTGGAGCTCACCTTGGGCTTCCCCAGGCGCTCCTGGAGTCATCTGAAGCAGTGCCCCCCCGCCCCCCCCAGGAGGCCCAAATGCGGCCCAAACCTTATTACAATCAATGATTTTGGCATTCTCGCCGGGGCCTCTTGGAGCGTCTTGGGTGCCTCTGGGGGGTATCTTGGGGCCTCGTGGGGGTTTTTTGGTGGCCTCTTGGGACATCCTGCGGGCCTTTTGGGAACTTTTTGGGGCCACATGGGGCCATCTTGGGGCCATTTCGGGGCATCTTGGGGCCTCCTGGGTGTTTCCTGGGGTCATCTTGGAGGAGATCGATCACAGGACGGGGGAGGTCCTAAATTAGTTTCCCCCCCGGGAAGCCAACCTGGGGCCAAAACCTTAGTAAAACCAGTGAGTTTGGCTTCCTCGCCGAGGCCGTTTTGGACGCCCCAACGAGTCGGGAACCCCCCCGTCCAGGTCCAGGGGGGGAGGTAGGGGGAGGGGTCAAGTTAGCCAGCTCGAACGAGCCAGAGGGCTCCGTCCACTCCCGCCCGCCCTCCAAAAAAATCTAAGAGGCAAATGCGTCGCGTCAAACGCTTGTCGCTCATCTTATATCGTGGGCGGCTGGACGTTTAGCGCGCGACGCGAGCTGCGTCCTATCCCTGCCGCGTGTTGAGCAACGTCGACGAGAAACAAAACCGCGCGCGATGTACGCCGCGCCCCGCTCCGGCCTCTCATGTTACATCGTCGGCGACCACATGTCCAGCGCGCGAAATGCGCCGCGTCTCATTTCAGCCGCGCGCCACGCGTGTTGCACTGTCAATGGTTTCGCTCCTGCCGCGCATGGAGGAGGGGGAGAGGAGGAGGAAGAAGAGGAGGAGGAAAACGGGAGGGAGAGAGGGACGGAGGGAGAATCTGAGGAGGAAGAGGCGAATGCCTTTTGGTAATTCGCGGGGCATGCTGGGAGTTTTCTGGTATACGCCTGAGGGCATCTTGGATCTTAGGCGCTAACCTCACAATGATTCAAACATTAAATGAAACTCAATATTATGTTCCCATCAATATTGTGTTCCCCCCCAGGACCTCTTGGACGCCTTTTTTCGACCTCTTGGGGGTCTCCTGGGTCTCTTAGGGGCCTCTTGGGAGCCTCTTGGCGCCACCTGGGCCGTCTTAGGTGGTTCTTGGCCCGTCTGACGTCTTCGGAACCCGTCTTGCGGGCCTCTCTGGGCCGTTTTGGCGACGTTTTGCAACATTTTAGGGCCGTGTTGGGGCCCTCTTGGGAGCCTCGTGGGCGATCTGGAGGTTCTTTTCGGCCGACTTGGGGCCCTCTTGGGGGCCTCTTGGCCTATCTTGAAGCTGTTGTGGAGGCCGGTTGGGCCGTTTGGAGCGGTCGGGCACCTGTTCTTGCGCACCAAAAGACACTGACACGACAACGGGCGCGCCGGCGACGAACCGCACTTGTTTGAGGAATTCTGATCCGCCGCCTGCCCACCTCTTCAACGCGACGGGTCGCAGCGCCGACTAACAAAAAAGTTCATCTTGACAAACAGGCGTCCCCGCGCGATGCGCGCCGGGTCCCATTCCCGCAACGCGATTCGCAGCGCCGACGAGGAGAAAATACATGTTGGTAAGAAAAACGTCGACGTTGCTGTGCTTTTTGACAGGTAGGACGGGGGGTCCGTGGGTTGGCCAGGCGTCCGCGCGCTGTGCGCCACGTCCCGTTCCGGCTACAGTTTTCGCAGCGTCGACGACAAGAAAGTCCACGTTGACGAAAAAACGTTGAATTTGCTTTTGTTGCTTGGATTGGTAGGACGCGACCACCCGCTTGGGGTTACCCAAGCGATGTTCATTCCGTCCCATTTTTGCTCCAGTTTCCGCAATTCGACGACACCCAGGCGATAACAAAATTGAGTTTGTGTTGTTGTTTTTGGACAGTTAGGACGGCGGGGTTGCTATCGGCGGGTTCGGTGGGGATGTGGGGATGTTTAATCTTCCCCCCGAAGGGGAAGTAGGAGGGGCAACGCAAGAAACACTTTAGACCACCTACGCCCAAAAGGGTTGGTGGGAGTATTTTCGGGGTGCGGTCCTTGAGTACGATGGGGGCAACATCGCCTGAGGCAGCTCGATTCAATGCGGGCGGGAGCTGCGAGGTGGGCCGCCGCCGCGGAGTGCAGCGGTGACGCCCGTTTTCGGCAGCACAGCGCTCTGCTGCCCGCGGTGAAGAGGCAGCACGAGGGGGGATGGGCTCGGGGGGCGAAGGCAATTCAGGGCCAACGTGAAGGGGGGGCGAGTTCCGGGCGCTTTCGTCTGATTTCGGCGGCTTTGCAGCTTCGGGGTGCGCTCCAGCAGCTGCGCCTCGCCAAAAGTGTTCCGGGCTTGGCCGGATCTTTCCGACCACCCGCCGAAGATCGGAGTTATGACCCGAAAACCAAGTAGTAATGTGAGGGGGGATGGGTTGGGGCCTGAGGGGACAAAACATCGACCCTCAACCGCCCAGTCATCGCCAATAGGGGCCTGATAGCCCACCCCGCCCAGGAACATGCGGCTTCTATATCGCGGGCCCATCGCGGGTCTGTCGGCTACGTATGGCCGATTACAGATCGAATCCCTTTATTGCCAGTGTTGAGTTGCGCAACCATTCACAAGGCAACAAAACCGACTGTGGCGGTTTTCAGTGTCGATGTCCAGGATCGTTATTTTCGATGCGTTCCTGTCTTGGTCGTTCCCAAACCCCGAACTGCCTTGTTGCGCCGCCTCCAGAAAAAGGCTGTAGAAAACTGCGGTCTGAATCCCATGTTGGTCCAGACCTCCCGTAGCGCTGCCCTTAGGGATTGAAGCAAGTGTTGCATCTTTGGGGCTCGTTGGGGGCCCCCTTAGAGCCGTCTTGGGGCGTCACGGCACATCTTGAGCCGTCCACAGGCCATCTTGGCCGTCTCGGGTACGTTTATAGCCATTTGGGCCCAGGCCTCCAGTTGGACTCCCACGCGCTAGTTCGTTCCCGACTCGCTTTGTCAGCGGGGCGCATGGTCGCAGCGTGGCTGGTGGCGGTTGCAGCTCTGTCGAGTCTGCCGATCCCGGGCAGCGGAGTGTGCGAGGCCAACACCGGCGGGAGCTGCAACGTGCTCGAGTGCAAGTCGTGGCGCCACGCAAGGTGCACAGACGTCGGCCCAGACCTCCACGCGGCGGACCCGATATTCCGCACGGGCACCAAGAACTGCACCTGCGACGAGGGGAGCTGTGCAAGCGAGGTCAACGGCGAGTGCGTGAAGCCAGGCGCGTGTCCGACGGAGACGGGAGTGTCGTGCAAGCTCTGCCAAGCCTACGGTATTTGGTGTTGCGGTGACGGGCAGTATTGCGCCCGGGCGTGGTGCACGTGCGAGCTGGGCCTCTGCTTTGATGGGACGGCATGTTTGCCAGCCCGCGACGGACACGCTGGCGTGTTGGCCGCAGAGGAGGACACCGTTGCACCAGGCGTCGGAGACACCAACTGTCCAGTCCCACCTGCCCAGGCCATGCTCGGCGGCGAGCTCAGGGGGGGAGGGAGAGGGGGCAGGCCTTTTCAGAAGGCGCGGAGACGTTTCAGAAACCACCGCGCCTTCTTCAGAAGCCTCGTAAGTCTTCTGCGAAGCCACTGACGGCTCCTCAGAAGGCTCGAGGGCTTCTGAGGAGCCCCGCCGCCAGCTGAGAAGGTCTGCCCCTCCTGCTGCGCCGCGGACATGCCGAACCTGGGCCCAGGATCGATAGGAACGCTTTCCTGGCGAATGCACCGGGGCGAGCATACCGATCCTGGCAAGGATCGGACGGGAGGGGATGCTGGAAGCCCAAACATTCGACGCCTGGTACGTTTTTGTTTGTTCTCGCGACGTGCAGCCCAGAGATGTCGACGCCATCTCCTGGACCCCTTTTTTGCTGTCCTCACGGCGTGCTCTTTGGCAGGCCCCCCGGGGGCGAAAGCATGCTGCGTGGGCCAGGCCCGAGGAGCCGCGCCCGCCGTGAGCCCTGCCCACGGCGCCGGAGGTCCGGGCAGGCGACGCCTCCCGAAGCCCCCCGAGCCACCAGAGGTGCGCTCGCCTCGGCCGTGCTGGGCGCGCTGGGTTTCGCCGCGCTGGCCGGGGCCGCCTGGAGGTGGAGGCGGTCATGCCCCGGGGCTGCTGGCCGGCCGCGGCCGGGCGACCGCCCGCTGCTCGCGGAGGAGTCCTGAGGGGCGTTGTGTCGGGTCCTGCTCTGATGGGCCAGGTTTTTCGACCACCACTACCATAGGTAGGTCGAGGGAGAAGGGAGGATGGGGAGGTCCTCCTCCTCCTGCTCCTCCTCCTCCTGCTCCTCCTCCCCCTCCTCCTCCTCCTGCTCCTCCCCCTCCTCCCCTCCTCCTCTCCTCCTCCTCCTCCTCATCCTCCTCGGCCTCCTCCTCCTCCTCCTCCCTCCTCCTCCTCTCCTCCTCCTCCTCCCTCCTCGTCCTCTTTCTCAACCCCCCCTCCTCCTCCGCCTCCCCTCCTCCTCCTCCTCCTCCTCCTCCTTCTCCTCCTCCTTCTCCTCCTCCTGCTCCTCCTCCACCCCCTCCTTCTCCCTCTTCTACTCATGGTAGTGGTGGTGGAGAATGGGCCCATCATGCTCACCAGCACGGCGCCTGGCGGGGCCCATCTTGCGTGCGCCAGATCATGCAGAGGAGAAAGCGTACCGATACCGCTGCCCTTGCCTCGCCCTCGCTTCTTGGAGGCCTCCTGGGAGGCATCGCCCTCTCCACGGCTGGATTCGCCTTGAAATTCCTGGGAGACGGCCGGAAAGTAGCGTTAAGTCGGGCATGTCTTTCTACAGGAGGAATGTTCCAAGCTAGTCAGCACATACGTTGGGGACCATTTTGTCCACTATATTTGACTCTGTTCGACTGTTATGTTTTTTATATATCTCTTTTATTTTGCTTCCAAAATCCGCCTGCACAGGGACATGCCCGACCTAAAAGTAGCGGTATCCGTACGGGAATTCCCAAGTCATAGTTTGGCCGTGTCGGGGCCCGTCACAGACTGCTCGAGCGGAGGCCGTCCTGGGCACCGTCCCCCCCCCCCCACACCTGTCAGGTCGGACGACGGGACAGGATACAGTCAAGACTTGAAACAAGGAACAGCTGGGGTTCGGAAGGGGCTCGATGTCCCTTTGGTTCCTTCGGTGCCGTTCCTCTTGCCCTCCTGGGGCACGGAGGCGCTTACAGGGCCAAGAAGGGGCTGCGTTCCTTGTTCAGTGTCCCTTCTTTCAGCGGTTCGACTTCAGGAGGGGAAGAAACACACGGACACAATTCATCGTCGAGTGCCAGGAAAACATGGGAAAACATGGGAATTGGGCGGGAAGACACAAATCCAGAACATATGGGAAAAGATGGGGAATGATTGTATTTGTGTGTATTTCTTTGAGTGTCCCAGGGCCCCTTCACGACTGCAGTGCACGGGGCCGGGGGGGGGGGGGGGAAGCGGCAGCTGCTGCCCGCAGCTGGTCGAGGCTCCGCCGCGGGGCACGGTGACACCTCGCTACGTCGCCGCCCGCGGCGCCCGGGGGGCGCCGGAAGAAACCCGCCACGGGACGCCATGCCCCCTCCTCCCCTCCTCCTCCTCCTCCTCCTACTCCTTCCTCCTCCTCCTCCTTCTCCTCCTCCTCCTCCTCCTCACTCTCCTCCTCCTCCTCCTCCTCTTCCTCCTCTCTTCCTCCTCCTCCTCCTCCTCCTCCTCCTCCTCCTCCTCCCGTCCCCTTGGCTGTCCCCCCTGGCTGTCCCCTTGGCTCTCCCCCGTGTCTATATGCCCGGGGCTATCCCCCTTGCCTGGCATCGCTCGGACGTGTGTAGTTTTTTCTCGGCGAGGGCCATTGAGGAACATCCTGGATCAGCGAGCGAAAAAAAACACACGCACGAAACCGAACAATGCACGGGAAATGGACGTCCGAGCGACGGCAAGCTTATCGCCTTGGCCATCTCGTTGGCTGCCCCCCCTTGGCTATACGCTGGCCGCCCCGCCGTGGCTATCCCCCCTGTCGTCCGGCCCCATCCTGCCTGCCTTTCCGCCTGATAAAACGACGCGAAGATCGGGACAACATCGGATCGGGATAACTCGAAATCTCTGAGAAGCAGCGGGTTTGGAGGATGTATTGGGCGCCGCGGCCGCTCCAGAGCGTTCTGGAACGCTCTGAGAGCGCTCCGGAACGCTCTGGAGCGATTTGTCCCGATCCTAGCCATGTTTTACCTGAGCTCGCGGAGGCCTCGCCGTCGCCGCGGCTGGACGGGGCGCCATGCAAAGTTCCGGACCGCCCCCTGGAGTAATGCTTGGATTGGGCAGGTCGCGACGCGGCAGGTCCTGGGCAGTTGCCGCCGCACTTCGGCTGCGCGTAAGAGTGGCCCTTCGCCGGAGTCGCACCTGGTGCGGGCCCAGCGGGGCCCCCGCGGCACAGGCTTCCGCGCCTGGATCTGGCGCCGCCGCCTCTCCCCCTGAAGCTGCGAGCCAAGGTCGTTCTTGCCCAGAGGTCACGCTTGCGGGCAGCCGACCCTTCCCCGAGGCGGGGCTCTGAGCACAACCACATTCGAGCCCTGCGGGTGCCAAGGGTCTCCGTATCCATCGCCTGCCGATGCCCCCGAAGATCTGTCCCCCAGTTTGGAGGCGGCCAGAGGTCTGAGTTGGATAAGTTTTTCGAGTCGTTTCCAGCCGTGGCGCCGAGAGGGGCCCTTCCGCCCCCCTCTTCTTGCTGGCCAGAGCTGTAGTGCTGGGCTACCTCGGCCCCCCAGCAAGCTCCAGCCCACGGTCGGTCGAACTAGGTTATGAATACAGCCCCGCCTCACGCCTACGCCTTCCTTCGGCCACGCGCAGAGGGGGGTAGGGGGGTAGGGGAAAGGTCTCTTAGAAGCGCCCTTGCTCCTTCGAAGGCGCGGGCCTTGCCTGCAGATGTGAGGCCAGCGCCTTCTGAGAAGCAGCCGCCTTCTAGGAAGCCTTCCGACCTCCCCCTACCCCCTGGCGCGCGCCGCCAGTCCTTGCCCAGGGCTGCCTCCCGCACGCTCTGGCGCCTCAGCGGCCGGTCTTTCTTCCCTGACCTTCCAGGAGGGCTAAAACACAGCACGCGACCTCAACACCTATCCCAGAGCCGTTCTCCGCCCTGGTTTTGGGCTGGGTCGTTTCGCTGTCTGTTAGGCTTTGAGGCCCCCCCGTGCTAAAGGATAGCTCTCTGGAAGGTCTCTCTTGGCGCAGCTCTCTTTTTGTTCCGGCCGCGGGCCCTCCGGGGGGGTGCCCCCGCCTCGGGCGACGCAGCCCGGCCGCGCGGGGCGCCCGCCCTGGACGGGGGCGTCCTGCCCTCCGCCCGCCCTCTCTTGGGAGGCAGCGCCTGGGCGGTTAGGTTCGCACATGGCCTCCTCCCTTGAACGAAGGATTGCAAAAAAAAACCGAAGGATTGCAAAAAAAGGATTGCAAAAAAAAACCTTCGAAGGATTGCAAAACAACCTTCAACAAAAAAGGGTTTTTTTTGCAATCCTTCGTCCAGGTTTTTTTTGCAATCCTGGGTTTGTTTGCAATCCTTTGCACTCCCCTCCGCCCTTCCCTTCTCTTAGGATGCAGCGCCTGGGAGGTCAGATTCGCACATGCCCTCCGCCCCCCTCCCCTCTCTCAGGGTCAAGTCGGGCACGCCCCTCTACAGTCGGGGCCCTGAAGAAGGAACCCTTTTGGTTGGAGAGGGGCTCCGCGTTCCTTAACTGTTTCACAGCTTGTCTCAGGTTGTCCTTATGTTTTCGATCGGAAATCGAAGTTCAACTTATGGAGCAAAAGGGGCCTCGTTCCTTATTTAGGGTTCCTTAGGTCAACGCCCCGACTGTACAGCGGGAATACTCAAACATAGAAAAGATACCTCTGGGGACGATTATTCGAGTATCGCCATTGTTGGAATATGTGTTGACCATGTGTTGTTTATTTTTCTCTTCCCAAATCCACCTGTAGGGGCACATGCCCGACCTAATCTTAGGATGCAGCGCCCGGGAGGTTAGATGCACAAGCCGTGCAGGTAGATCCCCAGCCAGGAGTTGGCCCAATCTGGCATGAATTCGCTCGCTTTGGTTGGGAGCCCGCTTCGTCGGGCGCATTCCCGTCCAATCTGGCTTACTTCTGGGCTTGATTGACTCCTGCCTATCCCGGCCTAATCTGGTTCAGTGGCCCCTTAATCGGGCTTAGTAGCTGTTACAATCGTTCCGACGAAGACCTAGGAGTTGCTTTCGTTTTTCTCCCCCTGGCCCCCTTCCCCACCCCCTTTCCCCCCCAGCATTCGGGGACTCCGAGGCGGTGCGGCGATCACAGCGTGTGGTGTGGGGATTCGGGGTGACTGCATGGTTTTGGGACTCGGGCCGTTCTCCGGGGGGGTCTCGGGCGATTGGGGCATGCAGAGTGCCGAAACCGTCCGGCAGCGGCGAGGTCTTTGAGGATGTCGAGGTCACCGAGCAGTCGGTCACCGCACCGCTTCACCAGCAGAGCTCCCCCGTCCCTCGTTCGCCCTCGTCCTCCCGTGCCGCCCCCGACCTCCCCTCCCCTTTCTGATCTCGAACTCTTCGTCTGGAGGAGGGGGGGGGAGAAGGAACATATTGAGGATGATGGAGGACGAGCGGGAAGGGAGAGGAGGAGGAGGAGGAGGAGGAGGAGGTGGAGGATCATGTCCGAGCGACGAGGAGAAAGATGAGGAGGAGGAGGAGGAGGAGGAGAAAGGATGATAGCGAGGGGGGAGGGGGAGTGGGGAGCAGCAGGAGGCAGGAGGGGAGCGGAGCAGGGTGAGGAGCAGGATGGGGGACGGGGCTTGGGGGAGGTACGACCGAGGGAAGAGGAGCATGACGAGGAGAAGAAGATGAGTATCTCCTCGGACCCTACGCAGAGCTTCCTCCCAACCTCTCCTGGACAACATTCTGACCAGACACTCGTGGCAATCCCTGGCCTGGCGAAGAGGCTCCTTCATCGATCCTCCTCTCTCGCCTCCTCTCTCTTCTCCCCGCTCCTCCTCCTCCTCCGTCGTTCCTTCCTACCTTCCCACGATTACACGATACGTATACGTATAAAGTTCACCGCTCCTCTAATACTGGGTTGTTATTGGACGGCCCCTCTCACACATCTTGTTTATGTTGTGCAAGGCTCCTCCTCCTTCTCCTCTTCCGTCTCCTCCTCAACCTCCTTCTCCTCCTCCTCCTTCTCCTCCTCCAAGTGCGCCCCTTACCCAGCGTAACACAATCCCGAGTTGTCGTAGTTCGGGACTTGGTTTCCGCGGCCCGTCTCCTGGGATTCCAAGGTCGTTCGGTTTCGAAGTTGAGGGCTCTTAGGCTCTGTAAGTTGTGGGCGGGCTGGAGGCCACAAGTGTGCAACAGTCATTTGGATCCTGGAGATCTTTCCCTGCGCAGAGGTGAATATTGGTCCAGGTAGGTGACTGTAGGTTTCTCCCCCTCCCCATTGTTCCTTCTCCTTACCTCCTCTTCCTCCTGCTCCTCCTTTCCTCCTCTTCGCCCCGACCTCCTGCTCATCTCCCTTCCCGCTCGTCCTCCCTCTCCCTCATCTTGCTCCTTTTCCCCCCCCTCCCTCTTCGTCCTCCTCCTCCTCCCTCCTTTCCCTCCTGTCCCTCCTCTTCCTGGGCACCCCTGCTCCCCGCCGCGAGGTGGGCGCTGCAGCCGGCGGCCCCAGCGCTGCCGCCCCGGCGGCAGACGGCAAGGCCGGCCCCGCTTTCAAGCAGTGGCGAAGGGCTCCAGCCCGCCTGTGTGTAGGCACACGAGAGACTGTTCTAAGCACGTTCTGCGGCCTGCACGAGATATTCTTAGAACATCTCTGGCCCAGACCGTCCTGCTTGAACACATCGGGCTCATGTTCTGTGAACATGTCGTGGTAGGCTTATATGAATGCCGCGATGGTCGGTCCCTGCTCAACCCTTGCCTCCCACTACGTCTCGTTTGGATGTTCGTCCCGGGGAGCCTTGTGGGGCCCACCTGACACATCTGCTCGAGTATGGTTCGGCTCCGGCTCGACCGTAGTTCCACTCAGGTTCGATTCTAGCTCGACTCAGGTGCGACTCAAGTCGACGGACGTCGTTCGATGCAGCATCGACGCACGAGGGAAGCGAGTGGCTCCAGGAAAGGGGGGGATTGGGAAAGGGGGCGTTACGAAATTTGCTGCATGCAGCTGGTTTCGGCCTCACCGAGGAGCCCATTCCTCGATACATAGCCGCCTCCGGCGCCGGGAGGCGCCGGGAAAATCAGCTACGTGAGCTGATTCTCAACCCCCCCCTTTGCTATCCCCCCCTTTCGCCCGAGCCGAAGAACGAGCATCTGATCTCTCTGCATCCTCCTTCGAAGCTCGTCGTCGCGGCCCTCGCGGCTCGTCCGAGGATCGGCGTTTTCGGGCACCGAGGCGTGTGTCCGTCGGGCCTCGGCGCCCTTCCGGCGCCTCAGGGGTGCCTTCCAGCCACTGCGCCTCGCTGAGAGTTGGTCTCCCGAACGGTCGCAGTTTTGATCGTGGCGCCACTGCCCTGGGCCAAATACACCTTAGGCGATGCTTAAGAAAACCCAAGGTTTCGGCCAGAGTCTCGATTATTCTTAATGCTTCAATGTAGATCCTAAGATTTGAATAGACAATCTGGATGTTTATTCAAATTCTGAGACTATGAATTTCTTAACCCATGATTTCTAAAGCATTTCGCAGGGTGTACGCCCCCCGCTACTGTTCCGGGGAACGCTACGAGGAGGGCGCGGCGCCCGAGGCATCTTCCGGAGCCGCCGGATCTCAGAGATTCCCGATGTATCTGCACCCGATGGTATCCTCGTCTTGGCCTCGTCCTAGTCCTCCTCCTCCTCCTCCTCCTCCTCCTCCTCCTCCTCCTCCTCCTCCTCCTCCTCCTCCTCCTCCCCCTCGTCACTTCTCGTACTCTCCCTGCCTTTCCTCCTCCTCTTCCTCCTCCTCTTCTCTCCTAGAGATGGGGTCGGACGATCGCGCCACATCGCCCGTGCACCGGCGATGCGGCTCGATTTGGAGCCCGACGTTCTGCACGATGGCGTCGCCGATGCGCCGCCAGCGTCGCCGATGATCGCCCGTGCATCGGCGATACATCGGCGATGCGGCTCGATCCTCTGACCCCATCTACTCGGAGCCTATGTGTGAGGTCTCTATTACCATGATTTCCCGCTTTCTGCTTTTGGCGCCAGAACTCTGCAAGGCAACTCCCTTTCAAGGCGGGACCCTCACAAAACAGGCAGGCCCATCTTTGCTGGTCTTTCAATGGGGGCGCTCATTGTGGTGCAAATGACAGCTTATGGGGGCATGTGGGGAGGGGGATATGGGAGGGGCGATGGCAGCATCGCTGCTGCATCTTTGGTGTACTCCTGCCCTCCTCCTCCTCCTCCTCCTCCTCCTCCTCCTCCTCCTGCTCCGCCTCCTCGGCGCCCCCGCCGGCCGTGGGCCCCCCCCCCCCTGGGGTTCGGTGGGGCGTGGGGTAGGGAAGGGTCGGGACACCCCCCGGTGTCAGGGTTCCCCCCTGGCTTTATGTCGGGCGTGTCCCCCCACAGAGGGATTTTCGACGAACCATAATACATCCAACATACCCCGAAAAGGTTAAACAAAAATGCTTGAAAAATAGTCCCCAGACTATTTTTGAAGTATTTTTGTAGCATTTGTGGGGGATTTGTTTTTTCGTCGAACATCGCCCTGTAGGGGGACAGGCCCGACTTAACCCTGGTGTTGGGTGGGGCGTCGGGTGGGAAAGGGTCGGGATGCCCCCCGCTGTCAGGGTTTCCCCTCCCTCTCCGGGTCTCTGGCCCGTTCTTACCTGGCGCTCCTCCCCCCCACCCGGGGCACCCCTGTCGGCCGCGAGGGCGCGCGCGCGGGGGCGGCGCGACCCCTCTGACGCGCGGCGCGTCGCCTGGTCAGCATACCAGGTACGCCAGCATTGCCGAGCCTTTATTTCAAGCCTTGGCACTTTGGCAGCGAAGCCGAGCCAGCATGGAGCCTCGGCTGAGATCCCAGGCGGCTTAGTGGGACGCCTGCGACACTTTCAGGATGCGTGCTGGTCCTGCTCCTCCTCCTCCTCCTCCTCCTCCTCCTCCTCCTCCTCTTCCTCCTCCTCCTCTCTCCTCCCCACTCTCCCCCCCCGCCCGCCCTTCCCCCTCCGCGCTCCTGAGGGATTGAAAACCGGCGTCTTCGAGAATCCGGGATTGAGGATCGCTGATGCATTTTTGCTTCAGCCTGATGCTTGCAGTGGAGGCCCAACCGTAAGAAACCTTCCACAGGAAACCCAACCCTGGAACCCCAGGGCGTCCCTTTCTTTTTTGCGTGGGAGCGTCGCGCTCTCCACCGTGAGACCATCGACACCCCAGAAACCAAGGGTGCCCTGGAGACTTTTTTGATTCGCGGGTCGAGAGCGCACCTCTTCCAGTCGAAGCTAGGCGGGCCGCGCACAGCTTGAATCAACAAGGAGGGGGGGGGCAGGAGGAGGGGCCTCACGTCAAGGCCAGGAGGGGGCAAAGCCTCCGGAAACAGGCGGTGCCGAAGACGATGTGCTTGCAAAGGAACGCCTTGCACAGGAACCCGGCGGCGAAGTACCGGAGGAGGCAAAATGGGGTGCCCTGGAGACAAGCAGGGTGTTTTTCGGCCTGAGCCTCCGCTGTGCTCCTCCGCGGGTGGACGGAATGGCGCAAGCCTCTCGAACCAAAGCTCGGAGGTCCGCGCGGCCTTCCTTGATGGGCTTGTTTTCCACCACCACCACCATAAGTAGGAGGATGAGGAGTAGGAGGAGTAGGAGGAGTAGGAGGAGGAGGAGGAGGAGGAGGAGGACCCCCTCCCCCTCCAACTGATGGTGGTGGTGGTGGTGCCTCGCGCGTCCCGAGCGCCAGGCTCAGCCCGCGAACCCGTTCATGGGCATGTCGCTCTTCTCCTGCGGCGCAGAGATTGTCGCTCGCCGTGGGCATGTCGCTCTTCGCGACTCCGCGCCCAGCTCCGGCGGCGGAGGAGGAGGGGAGCCGGAGCCGTCGGGGGGGGCGAGGGGAGGAGGAGGAGAGGGAGGAGGAGGAGGAGGAGGAGGAGGAGGAGGAGGAGGAGGAGGAGGAGGAGGAGGAGGAGGAGGAGGAGGAGGAGGAGGAGGAGGAGGAGGAGGAGGAGGAGGAGGGAGGAGGAGGAGGAGGGAGGAGGAGGGAGGAGGAGGAGGAGGAGGAGGAGGAAGGGGAGAAGCAGGAGGAGGAGGACGACGACGAGGAGGAGGAGGAGGAGGACAACGAGGAGGAGGAGGAGGCAGATGGGGGAGCAGGAGGAGAGGGGGATGCCGTCTTTTCCACGGCGGGAGGTGCCGCCTCTCGTGCGGCCTCGGCCCTCCCGGGCGAGGTGCAGCAGAAAGACGGGGTCTGGGGTTCCGGTGGTGATCTGCTTGCGATCTCAGAGGAAGAGGAGGAGGAGGAGGAGGAGGAGGAGGAGGAGTAGGAGGAGGAGGAGGAGGAGGAGGAAGAGGAGGAGGAGGAGGAGGGGTAGGGGGAGGGGGAGGAGGGGGAGGGGAGGAGGGGGAGGAGGGAGGAGGAGGAGGGAGGAGGAGGAGGAGGAGGAGGAGGAGGAGGAGGAGGAGGAGGAGGAGGAGGAGGAGGAGGATCAGGAGTTGACGTTTTTGTTCTCTGCTCGCGTTGGTCGCGCACTGCTTTCTCTCGCGCGAAGGCGTCAGGCACCCCGCCAGAGCCTGCCCAGTGCCGAAACAAAAAAGGATTGGACGCCCATGCCCGGGGAAGGGAGAACGGGGGTCGGGGGGTCCGGAGGTCCAGGTCTCGAAAGCACGGAGGCGCGCCCCCTTCGGGTGCAGACCGGTCATCGCCCTGGCTGGGGGCGCCGACCAGCCAGGGGCTGACGACGGGACGGGGCCGACAGGGGGCACGCCTACGCTAGGGTGGGGTCGTGTTGACCGACGGCGACCCCGCCGCCAGCGTTCAACGTCGAACGCCGCTGGCGACCCATAGTCGGTCGATGGTTGACGATTGGACGTTTTGAAAACTGCCGATCGTTCAAGGTTGAAAGATCCACGTGGTGTGAGTCAGGAGCAAACGCCGGAGTCTGCACGGCACGAAGCTGCCACATGCAGACATCCGCCTGCAAAAATCTTCGGCCGCGAGCTGCTCCGAAGCCCGAGCCGAAGGGCCCAGGGCTCCCAGGAGGAGAGGGGGGGGGGAGGCGGACGAGGAGGGCGAGGGGGGAGGGAGAGCGAGGATGGAGGGGGGGAGAGGGGTGGTGGGAGTAGGGAGGAGGAGGGAGGGAAGAGGAAAGGGGGGAGGCGTGGTGGGACTAGGGAGGAGGAGGGAGCCCGAGCGAGTTCCTGCTGATTTTCTGCGCATTCCAGGCGAGGAGGACTGAACAATCTCCGTCCGCGCCCGCGCCGAGGCGGCCTCTTCACCGCCGCGGCCGGCGCGCTGTGCGGCGGGGGCGCCGCAGGCGCGGGCATGCGTCCGCCGCCATTGCCGGGCCGGAAGCCTTCGCTGCGGCCGGTTGTCGGGTGTTGCCAGACGTGGGCTCCGAGAGCTCCACCGGTATGATCTTTGCAATCCGGGCGTGTCTCCTCGATAGCGGCCTCCAAGGACCGTGGTCGGGCCCTGCGAGCGCCATGCGAAGCGCACCCGGGGCGAGAACTTGGGCCGGGGGAGTGGGTCGGGATCTCTGGGGCCCCGGACTGGAAGGCAGCACGTCGGCGGATGTCAGGGCTCTTGGCCCAAGGTGCTCCCAGGTTGCCGCTCCGTACTCGGAGGCCCTGGGGCCCTCTGCCTCGGAGGGAGATCCCGGAGGGCCCCGCGCGGCGCGCAATAGTCATATCTGGTCCGCACGTCAGCTTCGCAAGCTACGGGTCGACGTTCGCGCGGCGATGCTCCGGCGTCAGTCCGCCGTAAATCCGATGTAGTCCGACGTGAGCCCGACGTAAATCCGAGGTAGATCCGACGTAGATCGGGTCTCGATTTTCCGCGCGAGGCGTCCGGGATTGTCTTCATAACTCTGTGGCCTCGGCAGGAGTGCTCTGGAGGCAGTGCTCTCCCCTGTGGAAGACCTGGGGGCGCCCTGGGCCTTGGACACGTGGCCCCCCCCGAGTCTTCTTCGTCGTCGTGTTCGTCGTCTGTGGTGTGTCCGTCGTCGTTGTCGTCGTCGTCGTCGTCCTCGTCGGTCTCGTCGTCCTCGCCGTCGTCGCGTTCGTCTTCGTGCTCTTCATCTTCGTTGTCTACATCGTCGTCACGATCCTCGTCTTTGTCGTTGGCAGGTCGGAGTTCCCGTTCTCGTGCGGTCGGACATGAACCTCGCACGGATCGCCTGAGAGGAGGGAGGAGCAGAAGGAGGCATGTTGGGAGGGGGTTCTTGAGCCCGCAGCAGGACGGGAACCGCGGCGAGCCCCTCCTCGGGCAGCCTGTTCGCCAACTTGGTCTTCGTGGGGTCGCGGGGGCCTCCTCGGAGACCTCCCGGGGCCTCCCTGGGAGTTCATCACGAGGCGTCCTGGGCTCGCCTCCAGGGGGCCTCTCTGGGCCTCTGGCGGCACGCGTGGGGGCTCCCGGTGGGGCCGTCGTTTGGGGGGGCATCTCGCGCCCCTCTCTGGGACTCTTCCGCTCGTCTTGGACGGGAGGAGGAGGAGGAGCAGGAGGAGGAGGAGGAGGAGCAGGAGGAGGAGGAGGAGGAGGAGGGCCGTCCAGGGCCGTCTTCTAGGCCTATGTGGGGGCCTCCTGGGCCGTCTTGAACGCCCTGGATGCCGAAGAGCAGACGTGTGCCGCACAACTGCCCCATCTGAAGGCCCCAACGGGCGTCCTCCGGGAGCCCTCCTGCTTCCGCCTGCCGTCGCCCTTCTCCTCTCCGCCCTCCAGGCTCCGCTCCTTCCTTCGCTGTGTTCATAGCTTCTTCCCACGTGTGTCCCCCCTCGTTCCCCAAAAGGCGCCTCCAAGGTGGCCCCCGCTGGACCCCGATGCGCAAGTGCGGTCCCAGAGGGCCCCGAGACGGCCGCGAGGCAAGAGACCGCAATGGCAGTTTCGCGTGCTGTGGCAGCGCAGGCAGCCCAGCTGTAGCACTTCAGACCTGCTCTCAAAATGCAAAAATGGGTGACGTTTGTCAAGGCCCCCTCTGATGACCGGGAGGTCACTCTCGCTCACAGCTGGGTCCGCCAGTCCAGATTCTCGAGGTGCGAGGGTTGTCTTCGCGTCCCTCGGTTGGCGCGCGCCCCTCAGTCTGGCCACCGTCGCGGATTTCTTGGATCCGCGCTGGGCCCCCCGACGGCGCCTCTGGCACCGCCCCTGGCGCGCTCCGCGCGCCAGGGAGGGGGGCCCAGCGCAGATCCAAGAAACCCGCGCGGAGCACCAACAGTTTATGTTCATACCGTTTCTCCTTCCTTTGGAGGTGCCTCCCCACCTCCCAAGGCCTCCTCGTGAAGTTCCGACAGCACACACCCATACCCATAGGGGGGTCGGAGAGGGCTATGGGTGCGTGTTGTCGGATGGGGGTCCCCGCTCGAACGGGAGCGTTCCCCAGGGTCCGACAAGCCGCACCCATGCCCATAGCCAGTCCTCCTCCCAACGGCCCCCCTATGGGTATGGGTGTGTGCTGTTCGTTCGCATCCCCGAGCCTCTGCTCTGGGCGGCGTTGTATGAGCGACACGCCTCGGTCAGTGACCCTGCAGTCGTCACTGGTCGGTGGAGTTGCGCTGGGAATAACCCCCTCGAGGGGAAGCGGATCGGGCGGTCTTCGCGCAGGAAAAACAAAAAAAAAAAACGCCTCGGTCAGTGACCCGCGGTGCGGTGCCGGCCTCTCGGCCGCCGCTGCCTGCTTCCTCTCTGGGCGTGCAGGCCTCCGCCCTCATTGGCGGCCGCACCGGCGTGCCACTCTCGCCGCTGTGTGCTGCAGCAGGAGGAGGATAGGAGGAGGAGGAGGAGGAGGAGGAGGAGGAGGAGGAGGATAAGGTACCCATGCCGCTATCTGTCCCTCGGTTTCCCCCTGTTGGGCCTCCTGGGAGGCCCTCGCCGCCACCGCTGGATTCGCCCCGAGATTCTGGTCGGAACTCACCTTCGGGAGAGGGGTCTGGGAAGTGGCGGCATCGGTGCATTTTGGCTTCCCTGCTTGTGTCCGTCGCCCTGCGGCCCTCCCTGCTTCGTGCCCTCCCGGCCGCCGCGGTTTGGTTTGTCAGAGGTGGCAGGCCTCCGCTGGCAAGACGGATCCTCCTCGCTCTTCCCTGCTGCTTCTTCCTCCGCCCCTCGCCCCATCCTCCTCGCCACTCCTCCTCGCTCCTCGCTCCTCCTCGCTCCTCGCCCCTCCTCCTCGCTCCTCGCCCCTCCTCCTCGCTCCTCCTGCCTCCTCGCTCCTCCTCGCTCCTCCTCGCTCCGCCGCCCCTCTCGGCTCCACGGGGGCCCGCCGGGGCGGGCGCCCTGCGCGCCTCGGCCCCCCCCTCTGCGCCGAGCGGGCGGCGGCTCGTAGCCGCCGCCCTGCGCCGCCTGCTTGAGCGTCGAGGGCTGTGCACGCGCACCGAGCCAGCCGGGCCCCATCCTGTCAAGCAGTGGCGAAGCGTCCTGGCTCGCCCGATCGCCCTACCAAGCAGTGTTCTAAGGACCTTCTGTGGTTTCCACGGGATGCTCTCAGAGCATGTCTGGTTGAGATTGGCTTGTTTTAACACGTCGGGCTGAGGTTCTAAGAACATGGTTGATGTTCTTAGAGAACATGTTGGGGTTCCGAGAGCATTTCGTGGTAGGAATATAGGAATGCCGGGACGGTCGGTCCCTGCCCAATCCTGGGCTTAAGGCGGCCCTGCCCCTCTACAGGAGGAATATATTCGAGAACAGTCACAAAAATAGTATGGGGACGGTTGTGTTTATTATTTTTGGACTAGTTAGTGGGGGCTTTGTTCGGATGTTTTTGATTTGTCGTCCAAACTTCGCCTGTCGGAGGGCATGCCCGACATAATCTTGGGCCCATGATCAGGGCTCCTTTCGGCTCCTCCGATTCGATTCGATTCGATTTCGATGGCCTCCGATTGCGAGTCGATTCGGCTTGGGACTCCGACTCGGACTCCGATGTCCTATTGGAGGCATAGTGCTCTGCCGATTTTCGCCGATGCGACTTTTCCCGAGTCGGCTGCCGATTTCCGCAGATCCGATTCATTTCGATCGCCGATCCGACTCATCGATTCGATTCTGCGCTATCCGGCGTGATCGGTACACGCGTGGCACCCCGCAAGTGTGGATAAGAGAGAGGGGGCGGGCGAGTGTTGGGTCGCGGGGTGAGTCGCGCGTTGGGACGCAGGGTGGGTCGCGGGGTGGGTCGCAGGGTGGGTCGCGGTGTGCATCGCGGGCGGGTCGCGGGCGAGAACGCCAGCATTGCTGCAAGAACCGCAACACATCAAGCAGAGTCCGCCGGACGGAACGCCGTCCAGTTCTGCCGCGCGTCCAGGCACAATGCATGATCGTTCGGCCCCCTCACTCCGACGTGCATCTGCCTCCCGGCGAAACAAGAAGGGCGTCAGGCCTACAGTCGGCCCGGATTAGTTGGTCGACACTGCCAAATCAATGGTACCTTTGTGTCCTGTGTCTCGCGACCCATGCTCTCTTGCATTCCTGTGGCGATGTGGCCCTCGGAAGTGTCTTGTGTCCTCTCGCGTATCCTGTCCAATGAAGTCCGACTGTATGGATGGGTTTTGCCCGGATCGGTGTAGGTGTGCACGGTCCTCACTCTTCAGCTTTTGGGCGCCGCGGTCCTCCTGTTGCCCCGAGGGCCGCGGGGCCAGGCGGAGGCCCTCCCAGATCTCAGCTGTCCTTGGGCGGTCGGGTGCCTCTCGGGGGAGGAAGAGGCACTCGAGGACTCCCAGATGGGGTCGGAGGATCGAGCCGCATCGCCGATGCATCGCCGATGCGGCTTGATGTGGGGCCCGATTTGCTTCACGTCGGCGTCGCCGATGCATCGCCCACGTCGGCGTCGCCGATGCATCGCCGATGCATTGCCGATGTGGCGCGATCCTCGGACCCCACCTTCTCGGACCCCATGTAGGAGGCCTCGAGGTACCGATACCGCTAGCCATCCCTATGTCGCCACGGCTAGATTCGCGTCGAGACCCTGGTCAGAACACACCCTTGGAGAGGTCCAGGGAGCGTTGGTACCGGTACCTGTTTGTCCCCCCACGTTCGGTTGCTTCCGACCTGGTTTGGGTTGTCCGGGTCAGCCAGAGCTCGGCGAGCGTTTCGGCACGGCGGCTGCTAGTGACATGATGTGGCCTCCCGTGGGGCACGATACGACCACGTTGGCGCTGCCGCAGAGTCTCGGCGGGCGTTCTCTTATCTTTTGCTGCTCAGGGAGCAAGGCGGATGGGGCCAGCTCGAAAGCGGCGGTGCGAATCTTGGGGCGAGAGTTCTGCTCTTGGTCTCTTCACCGTCGGATGCCAGGGGGCAGGGCGGCCAGGGATGGCAACAGATGTCAGTCGGATTGGGCCGATCTAGGTCGGATCTGAGCGCAAATGGGCTTCCAGGAGGTCCGCCTGCTGGCTGCTCGATCATGGGCCCCTTTGTCAAACGCCTCGGTCCAGCACTCACGCAGCACACCACCGTGGGCAGCAGCAGGGAGACCGCCGATGGCCGACCGGCGACGAGGTCTCGATGGTCGAGCACGCAACCCGGGGCGTCCACAGGGGCGCCAAGATCCCCGCGCCTCGCGGCCTGGGTCGCGAAGGTGCCCTCGGGCGGCCGCTCGGGGGCGCGAAGAGAAGCGCGCGGCACACCTCGCGAGGCGCGAGGCGCGGAAGCAGGTGCATGGCTCTCGCCTGCCTTCACAGCCCACCGCAGCTCCCCCAAAGTGAAGCCCAGGAGCCGCCTCCAGCAACCGACGAGCTCTACCCTCGGCCGCCGACGACGAGGACCAGAGTTGCCCTGCCCCATGAGGCCGTAGCAGGAGGATGCCTGGCCTCGCCCGTGGCCTTCGGGGAGCCCAGCCGACCGCGGCGCCCGCGAGATACACTTTGCTCCATATCGCCCCGCCGCCACGAAGTGCCGACTCCGGCGGACCGGCCCGGCGCACATGGCGCAGCCTGCGCAGATGGGCTACGCGTACGGCGCCCCCGCGCAGCAGGTGATGGCCGGGGACCTCTTCAGGGGCGCCTCGAGGGTATTCGTCAAGCAGGAGCGTTCGCCATCAGTGGGCACCAGAAGTGGCAGGGCCGCCAACAAAGGTGCCGCTCGAACATGAACACGGGACGAAAATAACTAGATCTTGGTAAAGGACCCAACCATTTGCAGTTGTGAGTTATCTTCTTCGGTGGAGCTCCCTGTGTGGCCACGGAGCGTGCGAGGGGTGTGTCGGAATGGGTGTGGTAGTGACATGCGAACCCTCCCACTGGGGCCTCTGGTGGAGCTCCCTATGGGGCCACGAAGCGTGTGAAGGGTGTGCCGTGGTGGCGCGCGGACCCCAAGTGCTATTCGGTGGAACTCCCCAATTATGACGACAAGAAACTGTTGATGGGCGTGCCGAAACGGGCGAGTTGGTGGGATGCGGGCCCTCCAACGGGGGCCTTCGGCGGAGCTCCCCATTGGGCCACGAAGAGTTTGATGGGTTTGCCGAAGTGTGTGCAGTGGGGGCATGCGGGCCCTCGGCCTTCTTGTGGGGCCTTCGGTGGAGCTCCCTGCGGCGCCACAAAGCGTGTGCGGGGTGTGTCGGCATGAGTGCGGTGGTGGCGCGCGGACCTTGCCATTGGGGCCTTCGGTGATGCTCCTTGTGGGGCCACGAAGCGTGTGAGAGGTGTGACGAAATAGGTGCGGTGGTGGCGCGCGACCTTCCCATGGGCCCTTCGGTGGAGTTCCCTATGACGCCAGACATCTGGCGTTGGATATGCCGACCTGGGCGCGTGGTGGCATGCGGCCGTCCCACTGGGGCCTTCGACGGAGCTCCCCATTGGGCCACAAATCGTTTCACTGGTGTGCCGGACATGGACGCGGCGTTGGCATGCGGAGCCTCCCATTGGGGCCTGGTGTGGGGAGCTCCCCAACTGGGCCACGAAGCATGTGAGGGGTGTGTGTGGGAATGGGTGCGGTGGTGGCATACGGGCCACCCCAACGGGGCCTTCGGTGGAGCTCCCCGTGGGGCCACGGAGCGCGCGAGGGGCTTGGCGAAAGAGCCGCGGTGGTGTCGCGCGGCGTCTCTCGCGTGCTCTTCGGGGGAGCTCCAGGCCACGACAGGGATCTGTAGACGGGGTGTGCCGAGATGGGCGCGGGCGTGGCGCGCGGGCCCTCCCACCCGGGCCTTCGGCGGAGCTCCCCGCTGGGCCACGGGGCGTCTGACCGGGGTGTGTCGGAGCGGGTGCAGTGCCGAAGCGGGTGCGGTCCTGGCATGCGGACCCTTCCCTTGGGGCCTCCGGTAGAGCTCCCTGTGGGGCCACGAAAGGCGTGAAGGGTGTGCCGAGGTTGGTGTGGCCTCCGGTGGGGCTCCCTGCGGGGCCACGACGCGCGTCTGAGGAGCGTGTTGACTTCGAACGTGCGGAGGGCCGATGCGGGGATCAGGAGGAACGAGCAGGGGATGAGGGAGGAGGAGAGGAGAGGCGGAGACGCGGGGCCCTGCCGACTCAGAGCGAGGACCCACCACCGCAGGATGCTTGGGACGAGAACTGCCCCCGGGAACGTGCAGCAACAGCTGATATATATATATATATATATATAGGCTAAAGGAGGAACCAGAGCCGGAGCAGAAGACGGCGACGAAACCACGAACCACAGCGCGCCGTGACCGGCATCAGCCGGGCCACACCGAGGCGGTCACAGAGCTGCCTGGTCGTGCCCAGGCTGCCCAGGGCCCCCCTGCGCACACTCGGCCGGCCCGGGCGGGCGGAGGCGCACGGCGCGCTTTCCGCCAGGCTCGGCCACGCGCAGAGGGGGGCTCGGGTGGGGGGGAGGGCGTCCTATCAGCGCCCCTGCTTCTCTCGGGGGAGCGTAAGACCCGGGTTTGCCAGGACTCGGGTTCGCCATCGTTTTTTGACGACCGCGCCTCGGATTTTGACGAGGAGGAGTTTCGTGGGATGTCTGCAGCGGGAGGCCTCGTCAAAATGCAGGCTCGGCCTCGTTATTTTTTTGACGACCTCGTCGGGGATTTCCGAGTCCCCCGTAACCGGGTCTTACGTCTCCCCGATCCTAGCAGCGCCCCTGCTTCTCAGAAGGCGCGGGCCCCACCTGCAGACGTGAGGCCGGCGCCTGCTAAGAAGCAGCCTCCTCCTAAGATGCCCTCCTCCCCCCCTCCCTAGGGGAACAACAAGTGAAAACTCGGATGTCCGCGCGGATTTCTCGGATCGGCGCTGGACCCCCCTCCCTGGCGCGCGGAGCGCGTTAGGGGCGGCGCCGGAGGCGCCGCAGTGTGCGTATTTTTGGGAGCAGGGTCAAAGAGGAATGACACGAGCATGGATCAGAGTCGAAAGAGCGCGTCCGCAGCGCCTGGAATAAGGAAAGGAGGACCCCAGTGCGGGACGCTGTTTCGCGCATTGTTTGGCCATTTCGGAGTATGGTTTGAGCTGTGCTTGTATGTTTCGTCGAGAATTCGCCTGCAGGGGGACATGCCCGACCTAATGCAAGAGTGTTCTGATGACCGTGTGTGATCTGCACGACATGTTCTCAGAGCATTTCTGGCTGAGGCCGTCCTGTCTCAACGCCTCCGGTCCATGTTCTAAAAGAAGCTTGTTTTGTTCTTAGAACAGCTTGGGGTTCTACGAACATGTCGTAGTAGGCCCATCGGATTGCCGGGACGGTCGGTCCCTGCTCAAAGGGGGTGGTCGAGGGGTGCGGGAAATCGCCGCCAGAGCCCTCGCGGCCGCCCCTGACGCTCGAGGCGCGCCAGGGGGGCGGGGGGTCTAGCGCCGACACCAGAGATCCGCGCGGGCACCGCGAGTGCACGGTGTCGTCAAGACTGTTAGTATAAGAGTAGAGAGTCCCCTGCAGGGTTGATTTGTCCCCCGAATTGAATTGTTCTTCGAATATGCGAAGCATGCGTACAATGTTCGTGGATCTACTAACAACGCATGTACATTCATTCGACGACAAAAAGCAAATTCTGGGGTAAAGGTTGATGCAGTCGATGCCCTACTCGAAACAGTGGCCATTCCGGGCTGAGGTGGTTTTCGGCCCGCTCCGTGGGTTTAGGTCGGGAGACCTGTCCGTGGCCGTGACTCGCCGTGGGCACAGGAAAGCCCCCTCGTCCCCCTTCCAGCTCCAGCTTCCCTTGTTTTGGACGCCAGACATGGGTACGGAAATAATGGGTACAATGCCCAACAGCAGTTCCTCTTCATTTTGAACAGGACTCGCTGTCCGCGCCGCCGCGGCCTATGTCCATTTGAGCCAGAGGGCCGCCTGCCCAACAGCGGCCGCTGTTGGTTTGGGACAACATTTGTTGTTGGGCATTGTGCCCATTCTTTCCGTAATTACCCATTTCGGGCGTTTGTGGGGGCACGATGTTTGTTGGCTCGTGTCTTGTCGCCTGGGCGCGACCCTGAGGCGTTTCAGGTGGGGCGCCGCCAGCCTCGGGGGGCGGCCAGGAGGGCGGCGAGGACCAGGGAGTGGATGTCACGGCGGGGGCCATGACGTCTCCGCAGATCTCACGACGCCTCCTCTTGTTTCAGTGCGCCTCTGGTTTCCCCCCTGGGCCGCGCACGTGCCGCCGGCCATGCTGTCCGACGAAGGCATCTATACACCACCACCGTGCCAGACCAGGGCCATCCTGGGCCGTAGGATGGTGTATAGACCCTCCTGTCTCGGCCAGGAGGGCGTATACACCATCCTAGGGCCCAGGATGGCCCTGGCCTGGCACAGTGGTGGTGTATAGATGCTTTCTGCGTATGATGTGCGCCTCCCCCTCTCGGGCGCCCTCCTCTGGGACGCGCCCGGCAGCCGGTGGCCCGTAGCCGATGTGTGTCTCGAGCAGTCGGCGCTGTCGCAGAGCGCCCGTCGTCCCAGGCGGCGCGGTCCGCGGTGTGTCAGGCCGAGGCCAGCGCCGAAGTCGTCGTTGCACGAACTTGCCGTATGTTTCAGGAGAAACACACAGACACGCTTAATCGTCGACTCACAGGAACAATATGCGGAGATATGGGGAGTGGGGGGGCAAGGCAAACACCTAGAACAAATATTGGACTATTGGACAATATGGGGAGTCCGGTTTCTTTGTGTGTGTATTTCTTTGTGTGTCCCAGGAGGAGGAGGAGGAGGAGGAGGAGGAGGAGGAGGAGGAGGAGGAGGGAGGAGGAGGAGGAGGCGGAGGAGGAGGAGGAGGAGGAGGAGGAGGAGGAGGAGGAGGAGGAGGAGGAGGAGGGCCCCTTCACGTCTGTTGTTTTGCACCCGCTGCACAGGATCGGCGGCGAGCCCCGGGGGGGGGAGGCGGGAGGGAGCAGGCACTCGAAGGCGGCGGCGGGGCGCAGTGAGAGGCCCTCGCGCCCTCTCTGGGGCGCCGCCCGCGGCTCCGGAAGAGCGGCTCCTCCTCCTCCTCCTCCATCCTCCTCCCCTCCTCCTCCTCCCTCCTCCTCCTCCTCCTCCTCCTCCCTCCTCCTCCTCCTCCTCCTCCTCCTCCTACTCCTCCTCCTCCTCCTCCTCCTCCTCCTCCTCCTCCTCAGGGCTGCTCAGAGGGTGCGCGAGGGCTTCGAGAAGCCCCCCCCACCCCGCCGTCTGAGAAGGGCTCCCCCCTCTCACATCCCCCTGAGGCTCGCCACCGGCAGGAGGATATCCCCGTCCCCTGCTGCAGCAACGAGGCGAAGCAGCGCTACCGGATCTCCGTCCCGAACGGCGACCAGGAGGGGCAGCCGTTCCTGTACATCACGGAGGACGGAGTGGTGCCCCTGCCACGATCGCGGGCTTGTTATCCCCTCCCGCCCAGGCCCTCTGATCTGCCCCCTCCGCTTCCTCGCCCTTGCGCATCCTCGCATCACCCCTCTCCCTCACCCCCGTTTCCCTCCCTTTCTCCCTTCCTCCCCCTCATTCTCCCTCCCTCTCTTTCATCGTTCTCGTCCCCCATCACTCCTCCCCCGTCCTGTTCCCTCCGGGCCTCAGAGCCTCAACCCTCCTCCTCTCCCTCATCCTCGTCCCATCTCCGTCCACTGCCGGAGGCCTGGAGGATCCCGACGGCCCAGTGGCAAGAGACGCCCAGAAGCCTGGATCCCCCGACCTGGATCCTCGATCCGATCCTCCCAGGAGTTTTGACCCGATCCTCCCACGATGCTCGATCCGATCCTCCCAGGCTCCGACCCTCACCATGGCGCGTGGGGCCACAGTGGATTTGGGGGCGGCAAAGAGGGGGGTGATGACTAAGGGGGGGTAGACATCATGGCGGGGGCCATGATATTTCCCCACATTTCGCGGCGCCTCTTCTCATTTCATTACGTCCCTGGCCCCCCCCTTGAGGGCCGCGCACATGCCGCGGGTGATGATTTGCACCCCCCCCTCTTGGACACCCCCCTCTTGGCCGCTCCCGATGGATGGGTCGCCAGGGTGGCCGGTGCATCGGCGCCGCGGCGCGATCCAGGGTCCGATTGCTCCCCCCCGACGCCACGGGTGCATCGGCGATACATCGGCGATGCTCCGGCCTCGCGTCCTCATTGGACGCCCGACATGGGTACGGATAAAATGGGCACAATGCCCAACAGCAGTTTCTGTTCATTTTGAACAGGACTCGCTGTCCACGCCGCCGCGGCCTGTGTCCACTTGAGACAGAGGGCCGCCTGCCCAACAGCGGCCGCTGTTGGTTTGGGGCAACATTTGTTGTTGGGCATTGTGCCCATTCTTTCCGTACCCATTTCGGGCGTTTGTGGGGGCACGATGTTTGTTGGCTCGTGTCTTGTCGCCTGGGCGCGACCCTGAGGCGTTTCAGGTGGGGCGCCGCCAGCCTCGGGGGGCGGCCAGGAGGGCGGCGAGGACCAGGGGGAGTGGATGTCACGGCGGGGGCCATGACGTCTCCCCAGATCTCACGACGCCTCCTCTTGTTTCAGTGCGCCTCTGGTTTCCCCCCTGGGCCGCGCACGTGCCGCCGGCCATGATGTCCGACGAAGGCATCTATACACCACCACCGTGCCAGACCAGGGCCATCCTGGGCCGTAGGATAGTGTATAGACCCTCCTGGCTCGGCCAGGAGGGCGTATACACTATCCTAGGGCGTCCAAACAATCATTTTGGCCGCACCGTCCCAGCGTCAGTGCATCGGCGATGCATCGAGGTGCGGCCCTCCGGCCCCCCGCCCGCGCCCGTGTGGCGCACGTGCGCCTCCACCATCGCGCTCCTCGGTCCTCTAGCTTTCTCTCGGGCGTGTCCCCCCAACAGGGGGATTTTCGACGAGAAATAAAAAATACCCCAAAAATGCCCAAAAAGGGTCAACAAATACTAGAAAAATCGTCCCCAGACTATTTCTGGACTATTTGTAGATTATTTTTGGAGTATTTTTTATTTTTCGTCGAAAATCTCCCTGTAGGGGGTCAGGCCCGACTTAACTCTAGCTCCCCAGGATGCCCCCATCGCGACTGCTGGCCCGGCAATCCCCCCTTGTCTCGACATGCGCACATCTGGCGGCATTGCTTGCCGCTCAACTCACATGCCGACAAGAATGGCTGCCGGGTCGTCCCGAACGTCCGTCTGCGCAGACTTGCCGTGCCGTTCTGAGCGCCGACCCCCATGGTGCGTCGCATGCTCGCGAGTGGCGAGGCATGTGCTCGATGCGGCCGGTCCGTGCGCATGACGGCTCGAGGGTGGGGCAGTGCTGGCAGCATGAAGACGCGGCCTTAAGCAGGACAGCTTCACTCTAGCCTCAGCACCGTCTGACCTATCCCGGCCCCATTGGGCCATGGCATCTCAGCCCCTCCACCAGCCCACCCTCCCAGGTGGAGCAAATGTGGAGCAAGTTATGTTGTGCAGTGCGTGGTGCAACTCAGATTCTGCAATCCATGTCGTACAATCCACCATGTGCAACATATGCGGTGCAACAGATGCGTTGTAACGTGGGCGATACAATTACGCGTGAAGGATATGAGGCTGCGAACCCGACTGCTCGCGCAATCATCCCACCTGCCCACCCGCAACTTGCGGCGGTCGCGGCGATTGCGATGATTGTTTGGCGATGGCTGGCGCATCGCTGCGGCCGCGCCAGCTTTCGCAGACTCGCGCGCAGAGCGGCCAACTAGTTCGGTGGGGCCGACGCGGCCGCGGTGGCGCTGATCGCTAGGGGCTGCACCGCGTCTCGCAGGCCGCGCTGACGCGCGGGCGCTTCAGTGCGAGTCGGTGACTCGGGCGGGCGCGGTACCATAGCGCCTTCGACAACTTTAGACACGGTGATAATAGTCGCGATGTTGGTGACGACGGTGACGATGACGGCGGCAAAACCAATGATGGCGCCGAGGCTGAGCACGCCGGCGACAATGATGGAGCCCACGTGTCCCGCTGGAGGCTTTGAGCAGATGTGTACATGCGCTCGCGGCCGACGGGCGCGAGAGGGGCCCGCATGTTGCGTTTCGCTGTCAGGGGTCATCCCCCCGGGGGGGGCGAAGTCGTCCTCTGTCGACTTGGCGCTCCTCCTCCTCCTCCTCCTCCTCCTCTCCCTCCTCCTCCTCCTCCTCCCTCCTCCTCCTCCTCCTCCTCCTCCCTCCTCCTCCTCCTCCCCTCCTCCTCCTCCTCCTCCTCCTCCTCCTCCTCCTCCTCCTCCTCCTCCCCCCCTCCTCCTCCTCGTCAGGGGTCATCCCCCCCCGCCAACGCGCGAGGGTGTTCCAATGATTTGGACACGTTCGCGCAGGAGGCCCGCTTGGTCGCACTTCTGTCAGGAGGGAAAAAAACACACAGACACAATTAGTCGTCGACTCCCAGGAAAATATGGGAGAATATGGGAAGTGGGGGGAAGACAGAAATCCAAAAAATATGGGAAAATATAGGGAATCTTTTTATTTGTGTGTATTTATTTGTGTGTCTCTGGGCCCCTTCATTCTGATGGACACGTTGAAGAATCGGGGGGGCGTAAGACCCGGGTTTGCCAGGACTCGGGTTCGCCATCGTTTTTTGACGACCGCGATTCGGATTTTGACGAGTAGGAGTTTCGTGGGATGTCTGCAGCGGGAGGCCTGGTCAAAATGCAGGCTCGGCCTCGCCATTTGTTTGACGATTTCGTCCGGGATTACCGAGTCCCCTGTACCCAGGTCTTACGCCCCCTGAAAGAACGATGGCGTGCGCTAGCCTTAGCATGAGCGCCCGCGCACATGTTTTCGATCGAGGGGCAACTTGCAAAACTGCTGTGGTTTGAAGTGTGATTTTGAAATGGTGACGAAACTTGCGGTTGTTGAGAGATTCTGGCATGCGCGCGCGAGGCCGCCCGCGTGCGGGCCTTCCCTCAGTTTTTGCAAGTGGGTGTATGATAATTGGTGATTGATTTTGAAGGAAGAGTGTGCGGGCACACTGCCATTTGTATGTGATGAAAGGGGGTCCGATTTTGGTTTACCTGGATGGGTGCGAGCTCATACTTAGAATCGTTTCGATGTGGCAGCATCGTGTGTAATCTGTCATATCCAAAGGGAACCAGAGCATGTCAGGGGGTGCGTCGGTTTTTAATTCAGAACGGAAAACAAGTGTGATGCAGGCGATACGTGCGTGGCAGTCTACATGGTGAAATCTACGTATGCGGCGCAACGTATGTAGTGCAGTGTACGGAATGCAACCCATGATGTGTATTCAGTGTGGTGCGATATTTGCGGAGGGGCGGTCCATGGGGTGCAAACTATGTGGTGCAATTTTGGTGGGGCAATGTATGTGGTGCACATAACTTTGCCGACCTTGAAGTTGTCAACCCCACTGCCCCGCGATCATCCCACCCACCCGCCCACCCATGCGGCGGTGATTGCGATGACTGCTCGGCGGTTGCTGGCGCATCGCCGCGGCCGCGCTGGCGCGCATGCTCGTTCGCGAAGCGGCCAGACAGTTAGTTCAGCCCGACCGACGCGGCCGCGTCGACAATGGTAGACACGATGATGGTAATAGCGATGCTGACGGCGCTGATGACATCGACGGCGGCATATCCAGTGACGGCGCCGATGCTGATCACGCAGACGACGATGACGACGTGTTCGCGTCGGTGACGAAGGTTCCAGACAAAATCGGCGCCAGCACGCGCGCAATTGCTCTCGAATGATTTCGACATGCGGCGCGAGGGGTCCGATTGGCACATTATGATTGGAATGTTGAAGCACAGGTGATTGAGTGAAGAATTCGCAAAACCGCGAGCGTAGTTTCTCGTTAAAAGCTGATATTACAAAACAGTGTGTGTATATTTCTTTTGTTTTCGGGGCATGCGATTTTGAGGCTTCCACGGCGGCTTTGACACGGCCACAAGCACTATGTTCCCGGGAAGCTTTCCGGAGACGTGGTTGCCGCCACCCATCCGAGGAGGAAGAGAAGGAGGACGAGGAGGAAAATGATAATGACAGATGACGGAGGGACAGGATGAGGACGAGAACGAGGATAACACAATGAAGGAGGAGGAGGAGAACAAAGAAGATAAAGGGGGAACATGAGAAAGAGGATGAGGAAGAGGGTGGACAAAATCATGAGGCCGAGGACGGACATTGAAACGCAACCCCTAGCCTTTGCTCTTTCCCTCCTTCCTCCTCAAGTCGCCCGCAGAAGGCCACGAGGCCTCCAAGAAGGACCCAACTCCGCCCAAAGTATCTGTTCTCGGCCTGCCTTCCGGGAACTTGAACATGATCATCGTCGCCATTCGGAGGAGGAGGACGAGGACGAGGACGAGGACGAGGACGAAGACGAGGACGCCGACGAGGAAGAGGAAGAGGAAAGGGAGGAGGGGTGTGGAAACATAGGGTGAGATTGAGTATGCTTCAGAGCAGGAGGAGGAAATAATGAGGAGGCCGAAGGATTCTTTATTCACCCGCTGATCAAACCCTCGCTCCCTTTACCGTTCTTTCCCTTGTTGCCTATCATGCCTCCCTTTTTCCCTTCTTCCCTCCTTCCCTTCTTTTTTTCTCCCTCCTTCCCCCTTCCCGCGACCACGACGACGCCGACGCCGATGCCGCCGCCGACGCCAACGACCTTTTTCCTGCGTTCGTGGCCTTTGGAATCGCATGCCGATCATGGGAGTGGATCTGGATTCTCACTAACGAGAATGGAGGCGATGTTTCTTTTTCTCTGAATGTGCTAGAACCTGAGCGCGCCCGTAGCGCGCGTGGTTCTAATGACATGGGTTGCGCACTCGTGTGCCGAAGCTACAAGAACCTGGTGTTGGTTGCGCCACAGGTTGCGCATTCGGCGGTCGAGGGTGCAATTGCCTGTTAGTTTTTGCCCCTGCTGCCGTGCACCCGTATACTGGGCAAACCAACTAAACACAGCGTGTTGTTGTTTACGCAGAAGGTCAGCCTCATTTGCAGCACGCTGTCCAGCGGCTTGCCGTTAGATCCGCCAGAAGTTGCGCAGTCGGCGGCGGGAGTCCAAATTGTGCCCAGCCGGGCGCGGCCCACTAGTCAGTCAGTATGCCAGCAGCCGGATTACAGCACATCAGGAGCGATATGGTTTCGCATAGTATCAAGAGAGCAATGCGAAATTCCTGACGCACGTGAATGCGAATCATGCCAGGACGTGGCAGTTTTCCAATCGCGAGCTGCCATACCAAGACAAGTTGTAGCATGACGAGTTTGGACATCAGGAAAGCTCTCTTGTAACCCTGATTTGTTCAACGTTCTTTATCTTTACGTTGGAGGACACGCGGAAGTGATGCGCGCCCAATCCACCCATCTTGTCGGTTGAAGCCCGATCCTTTTACTGTGTTTTTGTTTTTTTCCCACCGCGTCAATCTTCACGGTCTTTTCGCAGCTGTGGTGTCACATCGCCGACGGAGTTGAGCATGCTTCCGAGTGGGCCGCGCGCGAGGAGTCGGACTACTGCACGCGAAGCTGCTGCCCGGTGAACAGGGGCCTGAAGCTGAAGGTGCACAACGGGCCTTCGAAGGTCGGTGGTTCGAAGAGGGGGGTGGCAGACCAATCGCAATTTTGGATGATGCCGGTCCTTCCTTACTCCAGATTTCGTAATGAAAGGGAGGGGGTTTGGACCCTCCAAGACAAGCCATTTCAGACCCCCCCCGTGGGAGAACCCTCCAAAACATCGCCCCCAGACCCCCCCCAGGCCCTCCAAGATAGCTTGGAAGAGACCCCCCCCGAAATAAGACCCCCTCCCTTTATTACGAAATCTGGAGTACCCGTTGGGGTGACCCATCGTTTTCGGCACCGTTTCTCGAGAGTTTAACAGGAGGAGAAGATCCCGATACCGGTACCCTTCTGTCGTTGTCGCAATGTTGGACTTCGCGGGAGGCCCGCATCGCCGCAGCTGGATTCGCATTGAGGTTCTGGAGCACGCACCCTGGAAGAGGTCGGGGGAGTAGCGGTATCGATATTGTTTGGTTTCTCCAGGGCCGGGTCGGACGGGGGGGGGGTCTAGGAAAGGGGGGTGGGGTAGGACAATTTGTTGCGTGCAGCTTGTTTCGGCTCCGCCGCCGAGCCATTCGCACGACACGCGGCAGCCTCTGCCGTTGGGAAGCGCCAGGGAGGCCAGCTACGTGAGCAGGTTCGCTGCCCCCCCCCTTATTCTATCCCCCCCGTTCCTCCGCCTCGAGAGGGATCGTCGACGCGATTAGTGTCCCCAGGGAGGTGAGGAGCACAGCCTCCCCAGGTTTGGCTGGCCCGGCGGCGCGATTGGGCGTCGCCTTGATGGGCTCTCGCAGAATCCTCGGGTCCCCTTGCAGAGGCCTGTTGCCTTCGTGGAGTCGAGGAGCAACGCGTTGCATACTCCAGATTTCGTAATAAAGGGAGGGGGGCCTCATTTCCGGGGGGGGTCTCTTCCAGGCTATCTTGGAGGGCCTGGGGGGTCTGGGGACGATGTTTTGGAGGGTTCTCCCACGGGGGAGGTCTGACATGGCTTGTCTTGGAGGGTCCAGACCCCCTCCCTTTTATTACGAAATCTGGAGGAAGCATCAGAGTTCGGAGTTCCGCGCGGATTTCTCGGGTGGGCGCCGCCCCTGGCGGGCCCCTGCGCGCCAGGGAAAGGGGGGCCCCGCGCCGATGCACACGAAGAGATTCGCGCGGAGCCCCGAGGGTTTACCTCTGCATGGAGTTCTCTCTCCTCTCCTCAAAAGTCAGGAGGAAAAAGAAGCACACAGGCACAATGAATCGTCGATTCCCCAGAAAATATGGGAAAGTACGGGAAGTGGGGGGGAAGACAGAAACCCAGAACATATAGGAAAAGATGGGGAATCTTGTTATTTGTGTGTATTTTTTTTTGCGTCCTGGGGCCCCTTCAACCTTGCACACCACATCTTGACGCACACCCAAGGACTACCCCGTCGTGCAGACGATCGATAAGCCGTGCTCCTGCGGGCCCGTTTTCACCGCGCCCTGTCCGTGCTGCCGGCCCCAGTTCGCGGCGGTTGTGCGAGACCCCTTGTATGTCGTCGGGTCGATCGAGGACCCGTGCCACTGCTGCATCAAGGGGCAGAGGGTGAGGGATGCGCGTGGCGCCGAGATGTTCTCGGTCTCTGGCTGCATCAACCAGTGGGGCCTGTTCTGCCCGTGCTGTGCGCCCGTGAGGTTCGATGCCAGCAAGGTTCGGGCCGCCCAAACGCTGGCAGAGCAGGCGGGGTCGAAGGTTCGCGCCACGTCGCCGATGTGTGGCGCGATAGGGAGCCCGATTGTCGCTGTGTGGACAAGGCCGATGACGTGCTGATGCATCCACGATGCGGTGCGATCTTCCACCCTCATCTGCTCTGGCCACATTGGGGTGGCTTCCAAAAGGGCGGGACCACGGTTGGGGGCGTCGAGCGAAAACAATTGCCGTGCAACGATATGAGGGACAACCGTTTCATGATAGATTTCGGATCGATCAATGACCCCCAGGAGCGGCGAATGATGTTCGCTTCAGCAATGCTCTTGGATCTTGAGTTCTTTGAGTCGATGCATCAAGCGACCATGTAGTGGCAGTCCCTCACTCGGGGACAGGACATTGACCATGACACCATGTTTGCAACCGCCATCGCGCACAGTACAGTGGATATCATTCAGGGCAGGTTCGCGAGCCTGAGACGTGTCGTACGATTGTTTCGCTATGTTTTGGACGACGGCCCGCATAGTTGCTGCACATTCGCGCGGCTCCCACACTGCTTGCCAAGCCAAGCTGCATAAGTACAGTATCATTTGGCACAGGAGCGAATCACCTGCCGAAGCGGGAAAGACAGACGAACACATGCCTTCATCTTTTGTATTATCACTTCGAGGGTATCAGGGCGCCCGAGAAAAACGGGCCAATATGCAGGTGTCGAAGGACAGGGCGAGGCGTTGGGAGGCCTCCGTCCCCTCTTCCCGCCTTTTCGTCATCCTCCTCCACCACCACTTCTCCGAATGTCTACCTTCATGTCCACCGTCCTGCCTCTTTTCCTTCCCCCCCATAAGCTTACACATACCATTGTGAACCTACGAACACCTCGGACATCCTTCAGAACCCGCCCCCTCATCTTCATTCCAGAGAGATATAAAGCAACATATGATGAAACATAGAAACATAACCACCACTTCGTTATCCGCGAACGTCCCGAACTATTTGAATGCCCCTGACACTTTGCCAACACTTAAACGCCCAAGACGCCCCCTCAGCCTGTAAAACATATCCGAGAACCAAGGGAAAGCTTCAACACATCATCCGAGAACACTCGAAACCCACAGAGCTCCTCCGGTATAACTTCACTCCTTTCTTCACTCCATCCATCTTCCCTCCTTCAGTCCTGTCTGGCGGTCCTGGAGCCGGCACAAGAATGCCGGGTGCCCCCCCCAAAAAAGTCATGCCGCATTTCGTTCGTCGTCCTCCTCGCCTCTCCTTATGGATCCCCTTCCTCCTCCGCACTATCCTCCTCTTCCTCCGCAGCCATTTCGCTCAAGTTTGCTCTCAAAGATTGTTGACTTTGTATAGCTGCTGATACCAGATCGCTTTGTATAGTATGACAATCAACCGCACACGATCCAAATTACATTTGGTGGCACATCTTTGCGCAGTGGGGCCTGTAGCTACCTGCGCAGCTCATGCAGATGCACACGGCCTTTCTCTTGCCTGGAAGTGGACCCTTGCAGGGATGCCATAACGCAACCCAGGGCGATTCATGTTACGAGAGGGTGATGCGGGCGATGCGGCCGGGCATCAACACGTACCCAGATTGGGATGCAGGTCCTGGGAGGTCAAATTCTGATTTTGCACTGGTCCGAAGTCGAGTTTAATCCCGCTGAATCCCGTTTAATCTCGCTTAATCATGCTTGATCCGATGCCCAGTCCGGCGTAATAGCTCCCAAATGGGGCTTAATCCTCTTTAGTTTTTCCGACGAAAACCTCCCAGTAGTTGCCTCCTAACCCAGAGTGGCATCTCTCCCTGACGAGTAACGGAAGAGGAGGAGGAGGAGGAGGAGGAGGAGGATGAGGAGGAGGAGGGAGGAGGAGGAGGAGGAGGAGGAGGAGGAGGGAGGGAGGGAGGGAGGGAGGGAGGGAGGAGGAGGAGGAGGAGGAGGAGGAGGACTCCAGCTTCGTGGACCTCCAGCAGCGCCTGCACGGCGTGGACCAGTGCTCCGAGGTCTGCCTCGAGCCCTGCGCGTGGCGGTCGGAGGGGCGGGCGGCTCCGGACAAGTTCTAAATCGGGCCTGTCCCTCTGCAGGGGGAATAATATTCCCCCTGCAGAATATTTGACGATTTTCAATTCTTACTATTTGACTATTTTTTGAATAATATTCCCCCTTTTTGACTATTTTTGAATTTTCAATATTCAAAAAAAGTCAAAAAGTAGTTTTGGGATGATTGTTTTACTATTTTTGAATTAGTGTATTTTTAGAGCATTTTAGTTCTTGCATCTTTTGTTGTATCTTTCGTCCAACATCGGCCTGTAGGGGGACGCGCCCGACTTAAGACGAGTTCTGGAACCCCGACGCCTACAGCGTTGCATGTTGGAGCTCCAATGCCAGGGAAACTCACATAGATGACCCACCCACGTCGGTTCTGCACGAACAGAATGGGCACGGAAAGAATGTGTAGAATGCCCAACAGCGGATCTTGTTCATTTTGAACAGGAGTCGCTCGCTGTCCACGCCGCCGCGGCCTGTGTCCATTCGAGACAACGGCCGCTGTTGGTTTGGGGCAAGATTTGTTGTTGGGCATTGTACCTACCTTTCCGTACCCATTTCGGGCGTCCAAATCGGTGTGCTCTGGGTGCGAGCAAATTGGTCGTAATTGCCTGTGTGGAACACCAATCAAGCAGTTCTCAGAAGAGCTCATTGCACCCCTACTGCAGGGACATCGCTCTGCATCCTTGGCAGTCTATCAGGAGAGGCCACTGCGACCTTTACAATGCACCGTGTGAGGGAACGAATGGGCATGACTCCGACACCACCCTTGCCCATAAGGATTATGATGTTCCAACCTGCTTTAGCCTTGATCACCAGAAAGAATTCCGAACGCCAGAAAAACAGGTACCTAAACTCGAGGGTTCCCGCGTGCCGGGCCCTCGGAGACACTCGTCCGACACTGTTTCGACACTGTCTCGACACTCGTTCGACACCTTTCCAGGTGCCCGAAACGATTGCTGGGATGTGGTCCCCAAGTACGATGGGAGCGACGTAACACAAGGAACCATCACCGTCAGCTTTTTCACCTGGTACCGCCGTCCGCGCCCACTTCGACACCCACGCCTGCACCTGGGTGCTCGCGGTGGCACGGACGGATCGTCTCCGAGCTCTTCCCGCACGTGGCAGCGTGGGCCTGAAGCGTGTGGAACACACGAAAGTTGTCCAGGTGACAGGCGAGGCCTTTAGGGCGATTCTCCAGGCATGCCGAATGCTTGAGTGGCCGTGCCTGACGACTTGCGAGCGGCAGTCCCTGTTTCGTGCTGGAAGCAGCGCAACAGGAGCCCCAGTGCACAGCAACATCGATGGCAATTACATTAGTTGGGAAACGTCATGCAATTGCATTGAGCGGTCTTGGGAATACCAGCAGCCGCGATGGATTCTCGACTCAGACTCACCACGCATGAAAGCGACCCTGGGTTTATATTGTGACTATGGTTGCTCTTATTTTGGGCATCGCGGTAGTCTTGGCTTCATTGGAGCCTTTTCTGGACGGTAGTCTTGACATCAACAGTAGTCTTGACTTCAACACATCTTGGACGTGACATGCGACGGTGCAGTTTCCAACATGACGGTCAACATCACTTACGGAACGCATTTTCCCACACCGTCACCGATGATGGAGCTTGGGGTACCTTACACTTATGACCAGGCTTGTGGCGTGTTTACTTATTTTGATTTAGACGGTGGCGGTTGCCTAGTGGAGGAAGAAGTGAACAAAGGTGAGGGTGGATGCGGACCGGGACGGTTGCGTTATCGAATCATTCTCCTAGGTTCCCAATCCAGGGCCCAGCTCAATGCGTTTACGGATACCCTTTCATGGAAGGTACCATCGTCTGCCAGCAATGCTCAGCGGGTGCCACGCAGCGGCGCCGCTCGGAGGCCTGCAGTGACTGCCCTGCGGGCAAAGTAGACCTGGGTGACTTCGAAAATTGCATTTGGGCTGCGGCTCACAGAACCCCTCGCGGTTTGGTCCGACCTTGTCTTCGTCAACAAGGCCGAAGACGTGAGCGTGATCTTGTTGCAGTGGGCCGATGGGGTCACCATGTCGACGCGCGACCCTGGCCACTTCGAGAGACGGACCATCGTCGACATGGTTGGTTTCGATGATACCCAGAGGTTGTCGTCATACATGAGTCTCTCTTGCGTCAAAACGGGCATTTTATGTGCTGGACCATGGGTTCACGCGCCGTTCAGCAAGTATGACGCGGATCGTTGCCGCCTGAGCGCAGGTCAGTGGGGTTTCACTTGGCGATCAGTACCCGTGCGGATGCGGCGTCGACGTCTGCCCTTTTGGGTAGGAGTGTGACGAGCAGCACAGTGGGAACAACACGTTCCTCGATTCCTACGCCGGCAGCGGCTATGGGAGCGGCGGATGTTGCATCGGCCTCTCTGCCTCTCCTCGTCCGACCACGGCCTCGACGGTCAACCTTCTGGGCAAGAATTTCGATTGCTCCGGGCCCCGCAGACCGCCGACAGGGCCACCGAGGTCCAGTTTCAGGCAACGATCGACCCCCCGAGCACGGTGAGCCATTGCCACCTACATTGCCGCGGCTGAGCTCTCTGGCGCATGGATCGGCGCGGCGGTCGTGCGGGTGCGCACTTACCTCGCGTCGAATACCAAGAATGAAAGCGATAATTTCTCGGGGCTTTGGACGATGGAACCAGGCGCGCCAGGAGACGTTCGGCTTGCGGAGCGGACCGCTGCTAACATCGTTCTCTCTTGCGCAGCAGGCAAGCAGCGGCGCCGGGGCGGCAATGTGCAAGGCGCAGCGGCGCGCCAAAAAGAGCGCGAAGAAAGGATTGCCGACCGCATCTGGGCAGCTTCAGATAATGGCGCAAAGCAAGCGGAGCGAAAGTTCGGCGACGATCGCGGCCCGACAAGACCCCCCCATGCAGGGGCACCTGAATTTCGCCGCGCGGCCCTTGAGCGCACGGACTCGCTCGTGCAGACAGTGGCGGGCTTTTTGCATTCGATGCGCGTGCCGAGTCACTGGAGGATGTCATGCCACTGTGCCGGCGTCGCCGGAATTGGTTGGGCGCGAGGAACGGTCTGAACTCACTGCCAGGCTTGAAAAGACGCTGGCAGGGGATCAAGGGACAGCGCGACAGCAATGTGGGTCAGGCAGCGCGGGGCTAATGATTGCGCGTCGGATTGGCTAGCTCGATGGCCAGCGCATATCCGCGCAGCAGCCATGGACTTCTTTGCTGCGCCTGCAGGGCGGATGGGGTCCCGCGTCTGCTTGCGGGCTTCGCTGCGTCGCGGCTGGAGGATGGGGGCGTTTGGGTTTTCGGTGGGCGGCGGGGGTGGGCGACGCATA